AGCAGCTTTTTACAACTTTACAGAACGGAGCGTTGACTGGACCTCAGAGCCGTCTGAGAGCGCTGATGGCGTTATTGAAGAATGAAATCGTATTTCAAAATGTCGCTTTGCACTGTGAGTTATGAACACTGCACATCATCCTGTAGAACAACTCACTAAATAAAAGTTAACAAAGAACATTTACTTACAGTGTATTTCATAACCCAACTTATCTCCATCCAAACACACACACACACACACACCAGAGAAGCCTGGACGTATGGTCTTCTCCCATGTGCTCAAAGTTTTGAACAACATATGTTAAACTTGTGAGCAAACAGGTGCCTATGTACACATCCAGCCGTTACAGGAAGACATTATGTATTTAGTCTTTGTGTTTGTGTCACCTGATGACAGTCAGTCCAGTGTTCTCTCTCTTTTAGCTCTGTTTTTGGTCTCCACCAGCTCCTGAGGGAAGTATCTGTCTCTTTAGCTGCTAAATGCTGCGCTGTGTTCAGCAGCTTTGGGCCTTTTGGTCACACTGAGCTGCGCCAGAGATGGACTTTCTCCAGAGCAGGTCCAAAAGCTGGCTGCCCACCCTCAAGCAGTTAGCAGTGATGTCTCCCGACCCCCGCAAACCCCCGAAACAAGCTGTGTGCTGTTAGACTCTCCTCCCTCTGTCTGCAGTAGACCAGAGAGACAGGAGCCTTTAAAAGTCTCTGTGTGTTCAGCTCTCAGTACGTCTGTAGCTTCTAACTGAATCTCAGTGGGTTGGAGTTTAGTTTCTCTCCTGCGTCCTGTTCTTACTTTACATATCTGATTTATTTTACTGTTTCGTGTTCGCGATCAGCCAAGTCAAAAACTCAACATTTCCTTAATTTGCTGCTTCACAATAAAAGTTTTTACCAACAAAATAAAAATAGCCGCTTTAAGCTGTGCGGTTTTGAATCAATATCAGTACGATGAGGTGTGAATCACCTGCAATATGTGGCTCCCACAGCTGTGGAGCTCCAACATGGCTGCTGGAGGATATGACGCCTGAATGAATGAATGAATGAATGAATGAATGAATGAACAGCTGCATGATGACAGGACTGCAGTCTGCAGAGCTTCACAGCCTCAGACAGATGGTGTTATCCCCTGATGTCTGCTTAAAGATGTCACCCTAATCCCCTTCACACACACACACAACATAACTACACAGGCAGCCAGAGGTGTGTGTGTGTGTGTGTGTGTGTGTGTGTGTGTGTGTATTATGCATGGATTTATGGAGCCATAAACTACTCAAGATTAAAAGGTAGGAGTGTGTGTGTATTAATCTGGCTTGGCGGAATGAGAGGGCGTCGGATGGTTCTGTGTGTGTGTGTGTGTGTGTGTGTGTGTGTGTGTGTGTGTGTGTGTCAGCAGCAGCAAAGCTCTGAATAAAACCAGGCAGACACTGATTGGTCAGTTGGTGTCAGGTGCAGCGTGACATTGATGCTATGGCCAATCAGTGTCTTCTTCTGTCAAATGGCCGGCGGCTGGTTTTAAAGCACGTCACCTCTATCAACAGCCAATCAGCTTGTAGTCAAGTCAAAATGACCGCAGACAGCGTGTTGGCTTGCTGCGGCAGGTACTCCGTCCCCGCCAAGCCCTCTGCTTCCGTCCTCACGGGGGGTCGCTGATGATACACCGTCTCATCGTGGTCACTTCCTGTGACCTGGCCGCTTTTTAGACATTGTAGAATGGAGAGTTGACAGTTGCTGTTTGTTTCAACTCATCGTCGTGAATCTTTGGTCTGAACTGGACTTTTCATTGCAACGTCTGCTGTGTTCACTCTACACTATGATAATGTAACTGTGCGACTGAATAAGAACAGACATGAGCACACAAATACTCGTCTGACGTCAGTATTTGCTTAACATACGAGCAAGTATTCACTGCCGCCCCTCCCGCAGGTGAACATGACTTTTCTACTTTTTTGTTTTTAGAATGCGTAAAATCTTATTTTAATGTGGAGCTGTGTGCAGCATGATGCTTCACTTAGCGCCTCCTCGCCCTGACCACCTCGCTCTCTTTATCATGAGACGACTGCTGCAGGAGTGTGACCTCCGCACCGCGGTTGGTGAGTTTGTCTGAACACATATACAGCACCAGGGCTAACTGTTAGCATCACACAGCTAATGTTACCTAACAGTTATTAACGGGTTTAACGATTGAGCTGTTTTCGGTGTCGGTTTTCAGCTCGGTGTGGGATGTTAGCTGTTGCTGCTGTGTTAGCTCGTGCTACCGGGCAGACGGTGAACTGACTCTGGGGAGAGCGGCTCAGAGACGGTCCTTTACCGCTGTGGCTAACCTGTGTGCAATGGCGTTTTTTTTGGGGGGGGGGGGGGGGGGGGGGGGGGGGGGGGGNTGGGGGGGGGGGGGGGGGGGGGGGGGGGGGGGGGGGGGGGGGGGGGGGGGGGGGGGGGGGGGGGGGGGGGCGGCAGGGGCCAGTGCCCCCGTAACTCAGAGTCCAGCCCCCTCAAAGAGTCGGAGGGGCAGTGCGGAATGTGGAACTAAATTTTCTCAACAGGTTGCTGGTTGGACCACTTAAAGTGGCGCGCTTCACCGTAGGTGGAGTTGTGTTGCTACCTCCTCTCCCGTTGGATCTCTGCAAGTGATGTGAGGACTCTAAAACTTCACCTGAGCCTCCCTCGGCATATGGGTGAGTAGATAATGGCTGAATTTACATTTTTGGGTGCACTATCCCTTTAAGTGCACACGATATGTTTTGGGACAATGTTTCAAATACTTAACAATAAATTGTGATAAATTCTGACTGTTTTCTGAGTGTTTTCCTTTTTTAGACGAGTCGACTGGTCTTAATTAAAATTTTGGTTTAGTCAACAAGGACATCCCTTATCGATCGTATTGACTCGTGTCGATCACGACCTGATGATGTTTTACCGTCCAGCAGCCGCCACTTTCTCACAGTTTGTGTGTGTCTGACTGATGTCGCAGCTCCGGAGCCACAAGCGCAACTCAAAAGTGGTCAGAGCAGAACAGAGATATCCTGCTGACACGGATCATAAACACTGAATCCAGCACGTCCCTGGATCAGTGAACAGTAACATCCTCCCAGCTGACTGTTTGGAGACAGATGAGTAGAGTTAATCTACAGTAGGTGTATCAGCGCAGTGACACATCCAGTAACTGTTACTACAGCTGAAGCTGTGAGTCATCTGCAGAGCTTCACTCACTACACACACATCTCTGAGGCGACAGACACCTGAGTTTCACACACTGACACTGGGAAATGTTTTAATTAAACACACTGGGCTGGACAGATGTTTGCTGTCTGCTGCTCTGAAGCTGCGCTGGGATGTAACTGAGTAGATTTACTCAAGTACTGTAGTACAAACTGAAGGTAATTCCTCATGTACATGACTGAGACAAATATTTAGTCCACAAAAGCTTTAGTTATTTTTCAGTGTTGAGAAGATTCTCCTCCTCCTGAAGTGAATAAACTTTATAAAAACCCTCCTGGATCAGATGGAAGAGTCGTCGACAGGCTGTTTTTCTGACGGGACAGCCACGCTACAAACATATGATGATCTCATCCACCTTGTTCCTGCGTGAAATGATTATGGGAACAACTTCAGGTGAGATCGTGAAGGCAGCAGTAAGCTAGTGAGGTGCACTGACTGTCTGTGGTCACTCTCAATGGCTAACCACCAGTGGCGTTTCTTAACTAATGTAATTCATCCTTAATTCAACAAATACGTCTTTGTTTTTACCGAGGGCTGCACGGTGATATCAGCACGTCATCAGTATCAGTGCAGCTTTAAAATGAACTCAGAATCGGCTAACTTGCTCTTTCTTATTTAGCACAGTGAATGAATGTTACAGAACTGAACAGTGTCGCTGACACGCTTGGTTAAAAAAGAAAACAGCGACTGGTGTGAGACGGCGGTCAGAGATGACAGAGGTATGATCACTTCAGACCGTCTGAGGTGAAACAGGTCATGTGTCCCACATGTGTTATTTCACAATCGCTCCAGGAACGAAGATTAGCGAAGCGTTAGCGTACCATTACCAAGGTATCATGGTGGTGAGAAATAAGGTGGACACAATATGATGCATCGCTGCAGATGAAGCGACCTGACAGTATTGAAGGAGGTAAAATAAGCACAAACATCCACAGCAGGAAAATGACACAGTAACACAGTCAGAATCCACCTTTATTCCCCCCATGATACCTCGTCTGAATTATGGGTGCAACTTGTGGCACTGAACCGAAAACAGCGATTTACAATGGGAACAGTTTGTTTACAGTTTGTTCAGGATCATGTGATCATACCTCTGCTATCTCTGACAGCCATCTCAAAGCAACCGAGCACAGCATACTGACTGAAGTCAGACGGGGAAAGACAGTGTGTGACGCACCTGTCAGTCTACGTGTCATTCTCTGCTGATAACTCTGATTTAAACTCTTGTAGTTTTATTTCTCATGTCAATGGTAACCATGTCAACAGGAACAATCCCTTTTTGTTCTGGTCACATGTTCAACACACAGTTGCTGAAGACAAACATGTAGCTCAGACTGGTTGTTGGTCGTCACAGACACGGACAGTGCAACAGGTACCAGAGCTCCACAGAGACATTTTAGAAAATGCTGAGTTAACGTTAGTTAAATATTTGTTATAAAATAAACTTAAGGAAAATGACTTTGGAAAAGAACCAGCGTTGGCGGTTAGCCACCAGGAGTAGCCACTGGGACTAACCACAGACAGTCTATGGGACGAACTAGCTCACTGCTACTTCCTCTGTCTCACAGGAAGTTGTGACCAGAATCATTTCTACAGTTGTGACCTCAGGAATAAGGAGGATATGGAGCCAAAAACATCAGAGAGCAGTTTACTGCACAATCAGTGTTTTGACTTTTCAGAGTTCGTATTTCTAAAAATACTCAGATATTTTCACTTCAGTCAGTGTGGTGTTGGTGCGTCTCCTTCACTGAAGGATCTGAACACTTGTGTGGTTCACAGTGGTGTTGTTACCTTGTAGCCCATGCTGTGTGTGGTTCCGCACGCTGTGTTGCTGTTGTTGTTGCTTAGTAACGGGCTGCTGCCTTCAGGCTTCCCCTCATCGCCTCTGTGGACACAGATATATATATACATACATACATACATACATACAGAGTGTGAGCTCTCTGCATGGGATCAAGACTTTAAATAAAAGCTACTCATCACATTTCTGAAGACTTCAATCAGGCTCTTAAATCTGAGAGACTCACTCTCAGGTGATGAAAACACTCTGTGTGACTGTATGAAATATATTTGGTCATGATGAATATGCATTTAAAAAAAACATTGATGTAACCTCTTCTTATGTTTCTGCATTAAAACAATATTGTAATGTATTTGTAATAATGTTCAGGTTTGGACTGAAGATGTCACTTTGGTTTATAAAAATGCCAAACAAATAATAATGTCACAATTATGGTGCGTTCGTTTTGTACCTGGAAGTCGGAATGACGTCACCTCTGAGTTGACAACAGTTTTTGCATTCTAGTTGACGATGGTGGACAAGTCGGAAAAAAACATGGACGCCCGCAAGAAAGCCTTTGTTGCCCTTGCACTTTCAGAGTATAGACAGCTTCATAACCATCATGCACTCCAACTGATGAACGCCACAGATGAGGCTGACCTGATGTAAAACAAATAAGAGAAAACTGCTATAAACAGTACTTTAGCAGAGTGTTTGCTCACTATGTATGTGACCGGCAGCCATCTTGAATTTGTAAGTCGGGGTTGATGCGGTTGCTTCAAGTTTCCGAGTTGGAAATCCGATCTCAGGGTGCGTTCGAGTTTAAACTTCTGACCGGGAACTGGGAATTTCTGACCTCCGAGTACAAAATGAACACACCATTACACAGAGCTGAAAAAAATCAATCGATTAATGGAGAAAAGAATCAGCTGATCAGGTCCTGATCACACACAAACACAGGCGCACCACACTGCCTCTATTTTTTTTTTATTGAATGCCACTATTAAAAAATGCTTGCAGCAGCTTTTTATTGTTGCCAGGCAACCACTCCATCACCTCCTCAACCTAACCTTCCTGTGTGATCAGTCTACAGTTTGTGTATCCTGCAGTAATCAGTGTGTAGCTGCTGCCATGTTGAGGCAGAGGGTGCTGTGTGTAGCTCTGGTTGAGGGTGAGAGGCTGTCAGCAGATAAACAGAGATCTGTGTGGGTACATGAGACCCTAAAAAAGAGGCTGGATCATGGGGAGTACCACCAGTTGGTCCAGGAGCTTCTCCTCCATCATGGACGTTTACAGTACTGCACTTATCTGCTGTTTTCTATTGAGATGGTGCTAACTGTGCTTTGTAAAGTCGTATAGCTCTGGGTATCCAGCAACCACTACCACCAGTTTCTCCTCCATTGTTTACCATCTGTAAACTTGTTGTTTTGACCACCACAGAAGCCCCGCCTCTCACATCATCCCATTGGACAATGGGAAAAAAGCAGAGATGGCGTGGGGCGCTTTTCAGGCCCCGTTTATACGACAACGATTTCAACTGAAAACGGTAAACTTTAGTTGCGTTTTGGCCGATCGTTTACACGACAGCAGTGTTTTGGGTGCCTGAAAACGCAACGTTTTGAAAACGGGTTCCAGAGTGTAATTTTTTGGAAACGGCAGCGTCTCCGTTGTCATGTAAACTTGCAATATGCAGTTCCTCTGAAAACAGAGACTTTTCGCACATGCGCATTACGGTTCCAGTCACGAGGCACGTCGACTGTCACAACAACAATGGCGAGCTACACCATTGTGTCTTCTTTGTTTTGGTTTGTAATCACTGCGTTGTAGAGGAAGGCGCTTCATGCCGGCGTCATGCTGTGGTGCTGCTTTGCAGATTTACACTGCCACCCATTGGCCTGGCGTGCATACTACAGCGTTTCCAGTAGATTTTGCGGCTCCGTGTGAACGGAGATTGTTTTAATAACGTCGTCATATAAACGCAGAAGTTTTTTAAAACGCAAAGGGCAGACTTTTCCGTTTTTAGAGAAACCGTTGTCGTCTAAACAGGGCCTCAGTTGAAGTTTTTTAAACTCGTGGAGTTCAGAGCGCTCCGACAGAAACACCAGGCGTCTCGAGCGCAGAAACACGATGCGCGTACCAATAAGTTTCACTCTCATTAAAAACTGTAACAAAAAGTCGCCTCCAGCTGCTGAAACACTTCCTGTGTGATCAGGATCTAACTCATCATTAAAATAATCATCATTCAGTGTAAGCTCCACCTCAGCCAGCTGCAGCAGTAAAATAATGCATGAGTCAGAATCATATAATGACATCATCAACTGTCACAGAGGAACATTTTTCTTCACTGAATACTTTGGTACTTTAAATATATTTTTCGTACATACTTTTATTTAAATGATATTTTTAATGCAGGACTTTGACATGTAGCTTTGCTCATGTTCTGACTTCAAAACAAACTGTGACACTGGATTAATTAACTCTCATTTTACGTGCGACACAGAGTGCGCACCTCTCCAGCTCCACATACAGCAGATTATAACAGTTATAACATACTTTTAACATTTCAGGTGCAGCTTTTCTAACATATCAATAATTCAAACCGCAGACTTCACATGGAAACATCAGAACGGCCGTGACGAATCAAAAACCTGCAGGTGAATCAGATTTTCTGCTTGTTCAGCTTTTTAAATCTTAAATGAACCATCCTGATGCACTGTGACACTCTGTGTGTCCGTGACACATTCAGCTGCTGTTTGAGCTCAGGTCGGCTGAAAGACAGATGGACATGTTTTATAGAGGTGTGTACGTTTGTGTCAGAGGTTTAAAGTATGTGAAAAGGCCCATCTGCACACAATTACATTTTAACTGAAGATAATAAGAAACATTTTATTTCCAAAAACTTTTCTAAGAAATTGATTTTTTATCATTTTATTAAGCCTCCACTCAGAGATCGCCGCGGCCGGAGGTATTATGTTCAGGTTGTCTTTCTGTCCATCCCATTTTTGAGAACGCCTCAAGGTAATTCCTTCAAATTTGGCACAAACGTCCACTTGGACTCAATGTTGAACTGATTAGAATTTGGTGGTCAAAGTTTGACGGTCAAGGTCACTGTGAACTGGGGTTGTAGTGATATATATCGGTTTCAAGGTATACTGCCATATAAGCTGAGGGTTATCACAGCGAGTACATTTATTGATCTATGTACTGAAACAAAAAATGAAACTAGACGGAGACTCTCTCCTTTATTTGAGTTATTCTCTAAGGCGAGACTTTTTACACAAGCTTCCATTAACAAAATGGTTTCAAGTTTCATTTAAAACGTTTAACTAAAAATAATTCCTCCATTTTCATTCCTTTAAAGATCATTTTGAAAAATAATAATAATAATAATTCTGTGAAACCACATTTTTTTCTGAGACATTTATTGCACCCTACTGTGAACCTGCGTCTGTCTCACTCTCGTGAACGTAGTATCTCTTGAGGGCCTCGACGGAATTTCCTGAAATTTGGCACAAGTGTCTGCTCGGACTTGAACAGATAAGAATTTGGTGGTCAAAGGTCATGGTCACTGTGACCCCATCTGTTGCATTCTCAGGAACCAACATATCTCAGGAACACCTTGAAGGGTTTTGTTTTTTTTTTTTTCAAATTTGGCACAAACGTCAACTTGGACTCAGTGGTCAAAGGTCAAGGTCACTGTGACCCCACAAAGCATGTTTTTAGCCATAACTCAAGAACCTATTTGCAAATTATGACAAAATTTCACTCAAACGTCAACTTGGACTCAACAATTAACCGATTAGAATTTAGTGGTCAAAGGTCAAGGTCACTGTGACCCCACAAAGCATGTTTTGGCTGTAACTAAAGAACTTATTTGCGAATTATGACAAAATTTCACACAAACGTCAAACAGGATAAAACGATGAAGCAATGACATTTTGTATCTTTTTTTTCTGGTCAGTACGTTTTAGTTTGAGTGACAGTAATCCTTCCATGCTAACTAGCGTTCAGGACAAGAATGAAAAACGGAGGCTTTTTTCAACTCCAGGGTTTTATCTTCAACTTTTAACTTTCAAACATCAAAGGATAAATTTAACAGATCTAATTTATGGTGGAGGGAGGGTCAGGGAAAAGTATCTGTACAGCGCTCACACACATTTTAACTGACTCTCTGCTCTCTCCCTGGCAATAAACTAGCTGGTGTATACAATCTGGATAGTAATTTATTAAGGATAACTGCTAGTTGTATTTCATCTCCTGTGACTTATATCATTAATAGATGTCTATGTGTATGCAAATGTCCTATGTTGTGGAAGACAGCTAAAATTATCCCAATACCCAAAGATAAAAAATCTGTTTTTAATGAGAGTAACTCCAGACCGATTAGCATTATTCCTGTCCTGAGCAAAATCATGGAAAAAATTATATGCAAATTCATGATTACTTCTTTATGAATAATTTATTAACTATGTCTCAACATGCACACAGAAATGGCCCCTCCACATCTACTGCTTTGATAAAATTGACTGATGACTGGTTTAGAACCACTGATTATTCTCTGATGGGGGGGGGGCTGTGTTGTTAGATTTCACTGCTGCCTTTGATTTAATCGACCGTTCTTTCTTGGTAAAGACACTAGAATGTTATGGTTTAGGTCCTGTGGCGCTAAAGTGGATCCATAATTATCTGTCTTCTAGATCACAACAGGTGTATTTGAATGGTGGCATATCTAACAGCAGGGATCTAGTGTGTGGTGTGCCTCAGGGCAGTTGCCTTGGACCATTACTGTTCACTGTGTTTATTAATGATCTTGCTTGGGGTATTAAAAGTGCAAAAATGTTTTTTTATGCTGATGATTCAACCTTGTATCATGCCGCCCCTTCATGCAAGGAACTTAATGATGTCCTTAATATGGAGCTGCAAGTAGTGCACGATTGGGTTCTTTGTAATAAGTTAGTTCTTAATATTCCCAAAACAAAAAGCATTTTATTAGATGGCTGACGGTAGAAAACAGGTTAGCAGTAAACACAGCTGGATTGTTTAAATCAGTCTTGATCAGTAGAACACCTGATTTTATATTTGAACAAATTGTTTTTCAAAGTACTGTGCACGATCACAGCACTAGAGGGTCCAGCAACGGTCAGCTGGTACTGCCTTGCGCCTAAAGAACAAATGCTTTATCACGATAACTCTCTGCAGTAATCTGCCTCATCATCTCCGTTGTACAGAAAGTAAACAGGTATTTAAAAAGAAACTTAAATTTCATTTAAGATTGTAAATGTTGACTTGGCTGTATGTTCAGTGTTCTCAGAGAAAATGAATTGTTGACCTTTGTAAGCACCATAATGAAAACTTGCCCCACCTGGCCGGCGTGTTTCAAACATAAGGTCAGCGATCATTAAGGGAGAAAACACCGAAACATGCGCGAAACGCCCTGTTTCACATCGACTCGTGTCAGAGCAACGTGACGTCAACAGCTGCAGAAAAGTAATCTGCCGTTATCGTACATTACATCGAACCACCGAAAATTATTCCAACAATTTCATTGCAACAAAATTCCAGGACTTTTCCAAGACTTTCAATAAATTATGACTAATTACAGGACTTATCCAGGCCTGGAAAATGTGACTGAAATTCCATGACTTTTCCAGGTGTTTCATGACAGTGGGGACAAAAAACAAAGTCACACCCCTCCTCGTCCTCTGGTGAATAAAGAACAGTCCCTCAGCATGTCTGATGTCTTCAGTTGTCTTTGTGTGTTTTTATTAAATTAAAAAACTATAATTAAATAAGAAAAAAGACAAAAGGAGATAAATGTGGGAAAATTATAATAATTCACTTTGTTTAAATCTATATTTTATTCTGACCCAAAGAGAACACAGTGATTTAACAGCAGTTAATGAGATGCCAGATGAGATCAGTGTGTGTGTGTGTGTGTGTGTGTGTGTTACAGGAGGCCATCATCACACACCGTGCAGGTCACTACGGGATCATTACAATATCACTCTGACATCAATCGATCGATGGATGAACTGATCGATACATTGATCATATGATCAGTCTGTATTTATCCTGAGGTGTTACGCTGCGTTCACTGACCTGTGCTAATTGATGCTCCTCCGTTGCCAGCCCGCCAACCGCGTCGTTCCTCTGATTTATCGTCGATCCGGTACCGAGCAGGTTGTTGTTCCCGCCGCCATGTTCCCGGTGAGTCGCGTGCGTCGCGGTCCCGCCGCTGATGTCCGTCCGGTCCGAGGCCGCTGTCGGTGTCCGGTGGCATTTGGAGAGGTACGAACCGGAGCCCAGAGTCCTCCTCTCTGCGACCGCACAGGCTGCAGCACCGCGCGTCGAGCTCGCGACAAGGACCGGAGAGCGTTTCCGTCCGGGTTTTCAAAATAAGAGCGGTTGATGGTCTGTGGTTTCTCCTCGTGTGGTATTATTATAGGTGTTACGTAAATACATAAAATAAACTCATGGCTATTAAACAACAAGAACAGTGACGTCAAATGATTTCGAATGGTCAGCTTTTGGTAACAGTTTATTTTATGACGCTTTCCCGCCACAACGTGGAGCCAAATATATGGGAAAAGACTTGAGTGGCAATAAATGAATGAATGAAAAAATGTTTGAATAAATATAGAAAATAGATAAATAAATGAATATATAAACAAAGACAGGCATAAATAAAATATAAATATTTGTATTAATGCTGGAATACAGAAACAAATATGGAAATAAATAAATAAATAAATGTACAAATAAATATTGGTATAAATGAAAAATAAATAACAGAATAAATAAATGCTGGAATAAATATATAGAAATATATAAATGCAAAAACATACAATGTGATAATTGAACAGGAAGTAAATATCTATTAATTTTTTTATATATTTTTGTATTTGTATATCGATGAGGTGTTTATTTAGTTATGTATTTATTAATTTACATATTTATTGCAGCATTTTCTATCTTTTATTTATTTATTTATTGTATTTTTTACTGCACTACGATTATTTCATAGCTTTAGTTACTGGTTAATTTACAGGTTCAGATTATTAATAAAAAACATACATCAATTACATTTCTTATAAACTTTGATTAGTGCTCACCTTCACCAGCTGCAGCAACCAAGAGATGTACACATGACTGATTATAATCCAGTAAAATCATATATATTATCCTGAAACAGGTCACTCCAGATACTGGAGTACTTTCACCTTTGGTACTCTAAATATATTTTAATGCGTTAGTGCTTTTACTTCAGTAAAGATTTACTTTAGTGGAGTAGCTTAGCTCAAAAATAGGGAGGAACTTTGTGATAAAAGCATGACATATGGTGCACTTATAGCCAAAAGCATTCTGAAAATAACTGCATATGGAGCCATCTTGAATTTTCAATATCATTCATCACTGGACTTTTAAGATAGCCACCATCTTTCAGCTGTGCCATGTACTGGACAGATATGGATGATCTCAGTGTAGAATTTTACATTTTTCGAGATGCAGAATTTGAAACAGGAAGATCAGAATTTCTTAGAAGCTTCCTTCTGTCTCACAAGACTCACAGTGGTTGTAACAATACCCTGACCAGACTGAGGGTTTTCAATCAAGGGGAAGTGTATTCACACTCGCCTTCACAGAAACAAAGGGCTGTGCACTTTAAGGCAGCTCTTCTGCACTTGCACTTCCAAACACAATCTTTATTACATTTGCAGGAGACGAGTTCACAGCTAGACTGGCCTGCATCCGGTAGGCATGTCCAGAGGGGTTCATAATATCCTTCATTCACATGGCGAATGCAGTTGTGGTGTGGACACCAGCACTTGACCCGACACATGGCCTCCTTGGAACACTACTCTCTTTACATGCTCATCAAGGGCAGCCTTTGTGGGAGGATTGACTGCACATTGTGCCCTTTTTGCAAATAACTTCCGCCTTGCTATGTCTCTTTCTGTGCATGTGCTGGTTCGGTCATAGACTAGTGTAATGAACTTCTCTATTGTGGCCATCACCTCCTGTGGTATGTCATTTGGGGCAGAAGACAGTTTCAACAGGGCATGTGTAAGCTCTGGAAACACAGCCCATGCAGTCTTTTTCCCATGGCCAAGAAAGCTTGATGCAGTGTCACAGCCCGTCAAAGCATGGAACATTGGTAGAACACGTGCTGCCTCAGGCCCGAGCCCTGCTGCAAGTTCGTGGGCTGCAAGGTATTGAAAGTTCCTTCCAGTTCCAAATGCCAACCAAAGCTCATGTTCTGGCTGTAAAGTCTGAGCCACTGCCACAGCCGGCACCACAGCATCACTATCAACCCTTTGATTCATGATTTTCTGATGGCCATTTCTTGCTGCGTAGGCAACATGTAATAACATGTCAGCCTCCTCGTGCGTATAAGGGGCAATCAAAGACACATGTAGGAGTGATGGCTGGCTGAGGACTTCCCTGTCATCTGTGACAACAAGCTGTTTATCCTTCTCCACAAACCATTTCAGCAGAGCATCTGAAAGGAACGCAAACAACTCAGTCTTATTGCTGTCAACTCTGAGAAAGGTTTGTCAGTTCCTGGGAATGGCTGCCGCACCTAGAACACGTCTCTGCATCCCTGAACCACACTTTGCTCTTGTAGCAGCTTTCAGAGACTCAGGAAAGTACCGGTCCCACACCAGATCAAGCCTAGACACACTTTCAAGTTTTCTGGCTAAATGTGGAATGAAGATCTCTTGGGTCACTGAAGGTCTTTACAGAAGTTAGTTTCAGCATCTGAATGATGGCTGCCCCTTCTACAATAGTGCATCTTTTGATTCTCAGAGGACGCACCATGAACATGTTCCAGGCATCTCCTGTGCCGGCACATCCTGTCTATTCACGTGCAGCTATCTAACGACATCTAAATATGCAAACTACAATATTAATGTCGGGGGCTAATATTAGACAGCACTTAGGAAACTAAAATACTCTACTACTAAACTGTGACCAGAACCAGTACATTGATTACTGACTACAGAAAGTGTAATGAATAAAAGCTAGTTCATAATTGTATGGTAAATAAATTTAACAAATTGTGTCCTCAGTATCAAATTATAGCCTACTGCACATAAGAAACCATTTGTTGCTGGCCGCCATAGTGACATTTCAAGATGGCTCCATATCTAGTTATTTTCAGAAGGTTTACCAGATTTCATGCTTTTATCACAAAGAGCACAGTTATTTAGGATATCTGCTGCTCTACTGAAGTGAGATTTTGAATGCAGGATATTTATCTGTAACATAGTATTTTTACAGTATTACTACTTTCACTTGAGTAAAATATATAATTATAATTTCTGGTGTCAGAGGTGACACACGGTATTACGTTTTTAAATAGATTTTATTTTGAAGGGATGGAGTAATCGCCTGATATCCGGTTCAGATTTGCTTAACGCTGTGTAACTTGACTGATTTCTCTGCAGCAGTCAAGACACGCAATCTCTCTGCAGAGGAGGAAGATGAAGACACACAGCACAAGCAGATTTCTACTTTAACAATCACTGATGTCTCCTCTGTCCCGTGTCAATTATTGATTATCGAATTTGATCATCACTGATAAAACAGCTGTTATTACACTGTAGGATCGTTGGTAATTAAGATGCATGATGCATTCTTTTTTCTTCATGTAAACCATGTGAACCTGTTCTGACTTCAGTTTGAGCAGACTGATGATTTAATGCTGCACTGAATCTGCATTTTGTTCCACAGTTTGCTGCACATAAAGATACAACTTTATTGATCGCCTCAGAGTTAACGAGGAGAACAGGGTTCAGGGTGTCCTTTGAATCCCTCAGAGAACTTTATAGATTCTCTTTCAGTGTGACGTAACGAGCCTGAAGTGTGAGGTAGGAATGACGTCACCTGACTCTCCTTATCTTACTCTGTTCAGAAGATACAGACGATATTTTTTAAAACTGCTGCAAAGAAGTTCAGATACTGTTGAGTTTTTGTAACGATGTGTTCAATGTCAGTTTTCCACGTTACGTTACAGATCGTGTGTGTTTGAAGGAATTTAAAAGAGTCACTGTTGATGAAACATCGACTTGGACTCAACGATGAACTGATTACATTTGTTGGTCTAAGGTCAAGGTCACTATGCCCTCGTCTGTTGCATTCTTATGATGGCGGTATTATAACAACACCTTGAGGGAATTTTTTTTTCAGTCGTGGCACAAACGTTCCTCCGGACTCATCGATGAACTGATTAGATTTTGGTGGTCAAAGAACACTGTGACCTTGTGTCTGTTACATTTGGTGAACACAATAGCTCCAAAAGGCCTTGAGGGAATTTCCTTGTATTTGGCACAAATGTCCACTTGAACTCAAGAATGAGCTGATTAGAATTTGGTGGTCAAAGGTCACTGTGACTGATAGCCATGGCTGGAGGTGTCATATATTCAGGTTGTCAGAAAACATAATGTAACATAATATCTCGAAAATGCCTCGAGGGAATTTCTTCAAATTTGACACAAACATCAACTTGGACTGGTGGGCGGAGTCATACAACCACAGGGTTGACTGGTCAGTATTGTGCCGGACCATCGTGATGAAGAGGAAGCTGAGCCAGGAGGCAAAGCTTTTGATTTACCGGTCCATCTATGTTCCGACCCTCACCTGTGATCATGAGCTCTGGCCGAAATGAGTTTCCTCTGTAGGGTGTCTGGGCTCAGCCTCAGAGATAGGGGGAGGAGCTTGGACACCTGGAGGGAGCGTGGAGTAGAGCCGCTGCTCCTTCATGTTGAAAGGGGTCAGTTGAGGTGGTCTGGAGGTGATCTGGTCTGGGAATGGTTGCTGGGGAGAGGGACGTCTGGGGTGATTTGCATAGGAGGTGTAACTCTTTGGAGAACTACCTGTGTCTGATTGGGTTTAAGAAGGAAGTGGGTGGAGTTTAAATTAGAAGTGGGTGGGGCCTAAACTGCACTTGTTGTTTTCAGCTTGAAATGTATATAGGTCAGTTAGAAGTGGCTAAATGTATTTATTTAGAGATAATTATTTACAGAACAATCTCAGAATTGAGCTTGAGAGATTGTTTGATCAAAAGAGTGAGAGATCGAGCACAGCTATCCAAATAAGGATTTTCCTTCATCTCGAGTACAGATATATATATTTATATATATTTACTCATATGATACTCACACTCAGAAAAGCACATCAGCTGTAGCAGATACTCATTGCATCTGACTATTTGGCTCAAACCTTGTCATTAATATCAGCATTTGTTTCAGAATAGAGCTCGTAAGTTGCATGTTTCTGTTTCCGGTACATGAGACCTTAAAAATCAGTTTCTCATTATGTGTTTCAATGGCTAGATGAAAATTATTTTCTGGTCCCGTTTGAATTGTGCCATGAATTTAATATGTTGTTTGTGAATTTTTAATATATTTTTTCGTGTAAAGAAGGCTACAGTTTAGCGGGAAGAAGTTTGATACTGTTACGTTTTGTGTGAGAGCGCTTTGTGGACTACAGCTCTTCGCTGCTCCCGACGTACAGGATATACGTCACCACTCACACTCGGAACATGGCTGTGTCTCTGGTGCACTTCCACAACCACTACAAGTCTGTTTTTGTTGGAATGGTGATATTCGGGTACGAAACACAGCGGCATCTTGATCTGATGGCTCCGTAGATCGTGGCAGAAGATGCAGCAGCAGCACTGTGAGTTGAGAAGTGGAGGGAAAGTGTGATGACGTGATGTCACATAGGCGACATGTAGTCTTTCTCATTACGTTGTTTCCACAGCCTTTAACTGAAGAATCATACAATAAACTGTCAAACTCTTCACATGAAAAAATATAATTTAGACCCACACAACACATTTGTGTAATCCAAGGCATTTAATGACTGCAACCAGAATATAATAATTTTCTCTCCATTGACTCCCATTCATATTTTCCGAGCCTAGAGGTCCGATGGGGGTCTATCGGAAGGGGCGTGACTTACGCGCTCTATACGCTGGGACATTTAACGAATCCATTCAAGAGCAAAAGATTAGTTCCCTGACCGGGAATCGAACCCGGGCCGCGGCGGTGAGAGCGCCGAATCCTAACCACTAGACCACCAGGGAATGTGTTTATCTTAGTAACCAACACTTTATTTATTATAACACTACGTGACTGGGTGATTGTCGATTGTTTGATGTAAACTTTTACCACCAAATCGGTTAGTTACGTACGCATTACGTATCAGCACGCGCTCCTTCTCCTGTTTTAGTGGGCGTGGCGGTTACCTCGGTGATTGTGGCCGGAGACCAGTGTAACCATAAGTTGTGTTAGCTGGTAGCTAACGTTGTGACTTCCATCACGTCACAGAGCCGTTACAGTCTGTGCTGTCGGCTCAGCGGACAGGTCAGTGACACCATGTTCACTTTATCTTCACTTTATCTTCACTCTTCTTCATGTTCTTCACGGTTTGGTTGTTTCTTCCACACTCTGCCTTTCTTTTAGCTAAGCTAGCTAGCTGTTAGCCTAGCTGTTAGCCTCACGGACCCAGGGGGTCGCTGTTTAGCATTTTTCTCATATAATGTTACGGTTAATCATTTTGGGAATATAGAAGCGATATATCACGAATCTGAACAACAATACGTGAAAATGAACTCGTGGTTATTAAGTCATGAATCCTGTGAATGTCGTCAGGACCTCGTGGCGCAACGGTAGCGCGTCTGACTCCAGATCAGAAGGTTGCGTGTTCAAATCACGTCGGGGTCAAATCTTTTCATGAAGACTCCTTTTGTCTTTATTTCTTATGGGTTGAGATCCAGCTCCTCTGAACATATTCAGAAAACCACAGTGACAGAGTCAGTAACAGGTGGAACAGCGGGAGAAGTTGTTCATCAGTCATATACCTGTGACGACACTGAGTTAATGTGGAAACTCAACATAAACATAAATGTTCATTTTTCTCATGTTTAGTCTCAGTCTATTGTTTTATTCCACCTATGTATATAATGTAGTTACATTTTCACACTTACAGCCTCAGCACAGTGAAGACATATATTTTATTTTAATATTTTTATCTCTTAAGCAGAGATGTACCCATACCACTTTTTCCTTCCCAATACCGATTCCGATCCCTGAACCTTTGGTATCTGCCAATACCGAGTACCGATCTGATACCAGCGCGTAAAATAAAAATGGATGGGATACGAACTGTTGTATGTTTCAACTCCTAAAAGTCTATGTAAAATATTAAGAAATAAATACATACTAGTAGAATGAATGCCATAAAACTTTTTTTTATTATTATTATCATCCAGTGTTGACACAGATCAAGACACAGGTTAAAGTGCAGCCACACAATTTGGTAAAAAAGACATTTTAAAGGCTACAGTAGAATGCTTTTTAAACTTTTCTCCGTTTCCGTTTCGTTTGCCTGTAGTGTGCGTATGTGTAATGACGTGAGGCATTACGTGGTATCGGATTGGTCATAGGCTGTACTCGCTGATACCCGACACCGCATTTTAGGTAGTATCTGAGGCATTTCCAATACTGGTATCGGTACAACTCTACTCTTAAGTACTTGTGTTAAACACTGTAAGATAATGCACATTTTCTTTTTATTTTAATGCACAGTTAAATTCTACTTTATTTTATTTATCGCTTTATATTTACACACTTTTATTCCATACTCTTATTCTTACTTCTTATAATTCACTGCTCTTTACATCAGAGCAACTGTAGCGAATCAGAACTCTGCCCACAGGGATCAATAAAGTATTTCTGATTCTGAAACACTCAGAGATGGAGGAAGTATTAATTACCCTAAGCAGGGGCGTAAATATAGACAGTGCAGGGACCCTCCAACTATATGTTAGGCAGAAAACGGGCCCATGTGAGTAATTTAGATCACCGCCTAAGAAATCTCTGTTCAAAGACAGACTCACATTTTTTTTAAAAAAACTGCATTTTTGTCAGAGACAGTGATTTTCAACAATGAAACATTTAAACATCTACATTTTTTCTCATTTCCTTTCGTCAGTTTGAATTGTATGAATGAAAATAATAATCTCTTTGAGGTGCAGCATCAGAACACGTTGTCACGTTCAGTGTTCTGTTGTCTCCGTCTCCTCTGTGGTCGTCCTGTCCGTGTGTCACTGTCATCGTCATGAGGATCCCGTTTCGTCCCACCAAGCTTGTTTGCTTCTTTGTCCAATCAGATTCAGAATGCTGATCAAAACAGGAAGTGACAGAGTCTGAGTTCACAATCTGAATCTCTACAGCTTGCGCGCCCGTAAACTTTTCTGTCAGCGGCAGCATTTTCGTATAGTTTACAAGCTGCTACATCTCCTCTGTAAATACCTTCTTCCAGTTTCCAGCGTATCTCCCTCTTCGCTTGTTTTTGGACTCAGCAGTGTTGTTCTATTTCACAAGATGTGTAGCAGCGCCTCCATCTTATAACAGTGAAAACACAGATCGACAGAATATCTCGTCAATGGCGGCGAAAGAGTTAATTGAAAATGGTGTCATGTGCTGTATATGCCTTTGAAAAGACAAACCCATCTGCATCATGGTTTTCTTTTTGTAAACTAGCCTGTAGCAATCTACAACAAAATGTGTTATAAAATATAAAATATATGTTTACTCTACACAAACTGTATATAAGGTATAACAATTATTAAATGCAGGATATACATGCTGATGATTTCTGGGTGATATCTATGTTGGTGTGATCCAGAGTCAAGTCTCTATTTGATTATGTGACGATAAGATTATACTGGAACCAGTTTATGTACATAACAAGTCACTAGCGCTCCTTAGGGCCCGTCATCATAGCATGCACTGGGGCCTGTTATAACTACCTTACACCACTGACCCTAAATACAAACACCACACAGTACAAATACTTCAAGTTAAAGTCCTGCATTCAAAATGTTACTTAAATAAACCATTGTAATATTATATAAAGCTAAGACTCATTGACCTTGTTCCTACATTTCAGGGGACGCTTTTATGAACAGAGGGAAAACTGGAACATCTTTCAGCCTCATTTCTAAATGGACTGCAGGTTGTTGGCTTTGAGGCTTTTTAAAGACAGACCTACTTTCTCTGTAACCTAACTTCATTCTTAAAACCATCGTTCGCTTTGCTTTTAAAGAGCTCTATTTATGATGTGAAGGGCTGCAGCCGGACAAGAATGAGAGTAATGCCAGGTTCACACTACACAATATCAGCCTAATTACAGCCCGACGCTGCGTCATGCGGTGTCGGCTCGGATCATGAACAACAGCGAGTGTCGTATGCGATAATCCATGGTTTCATCTGGTGTAGTGTGTCATAGTAGACGACATCTGACGCCACGTCTGTGACTCCTCACAATGTCATGACAGGAAGTCTAGCATGTTTGATTTTCTTCTTGTCGTCCACGACTTCTCCCGTCACAGCCGTCACTTTGACCAATAGGAACACAGAGTGATCTGTTGCCATGGAAACTGTAGGACAACAACAGCCCAGTCTTTTAGATGTTTCCTGTTGGGACGTTAGCACACAGAGTGAAAAGGAAACAGCAGAGGCACTTTATCAACCCGCTGAGTACTGCCATTAGCATCAAGCTAGCAAAGAATGTTCTTTCTTCATAATGGAGGATATAAAGGAATCAAACTCACGGATAGTGTCTGGGCCTTTACTCAGCACAGCTGCAGAGGCTACCAGCTGCATCTCAAACACACCACACCATTTAGAATCCCTTCATTTTCTAAAAAGGCTTTTATTGTGAAACATTTGGTAGAACTTCCTGTGGTGGATTCAGTGACTGTCATAGTTTGCATGCGGTACTTCAAATGTAGCTCCGCCCACCTGGTGACACTTTTTATGTTACCACAGTAACAGCTCAGCTCAAACATGAACAAACACAGTGACTGAAATAATAATAACAATAACAATAATACTACTACTACTACTAATAATAATAATAATAGGACGAGAATAATCCGATGACATCACACACGTTGTGAAAGACAACCAGGAATAATTGGTCGCAGACCAATGTGTAGTCAGTCATGTCAGTCGGCCAAGTCACAGCGAGATTTAATGACTCCACAACCTCCTAATCTGACACAGAGACTGTTGGAACAGACAAAAATATTGTGTATTCTGAACCCAGCATAACATAAGGAAAGACTGCAGGAATAAACATTTTCTTTAATTATTTTATACATTTATTAAGCAAATAAATAAAACCAAAGTTCTACAGATGCTTGGAAATAGATCTAAAAGCTTCTACACAGAAGTCACAAACAGAAACATAATAATTTTCTCACTATAAAAACGTATAACATTGTGACCGAGTACGTTCACTTTCTGCTAGCTTTATTGCAGCTTGTTTTTCTCACATGAACACAGCAGCTAACAGTGAGGTGGAGCTGAGCAAGCAGGTGCCGCCATTTTGAGCCCAGTTAAAGAAGAAAACAGCACTTTCATTGAGACTTTTACAACATGTGATAAGTCCCTAGCTGGCGGAGGCGGGGCGTGACTTGTGGATGCTGACTTTCTTGCGGGTGTTGTCGCTGCAGCGCTCCATGATGAGCTCCGCACTGGGCCGGGGGGGTATGACCGGAGCCTCCTTCTTCAGCTCGCCCTCCGAACTGGAGCCAGACGTCTCGGGAATGTTGTCTGTTTGAGACAGATGATCAGTTATTAGTTTATACGTGTGTTCAGAGGGGTTTTATGGGCCAGTCAGTGTTGGGATGTAACTAAGTACTCAAGTACTGTACTTAGGTATAAATTCAATGTACTTATACTTCACTTGAATATACAACACATTCTCACTAGGTGTGGTTACATGATGGCTTCTCATTCAGAATGGAATAAATCTGAATGAAATCATTCTGAATTAAAGTCTTTCCAGGTAGTTTACATGAGAAATATTCATTCTGAATGAGGGTTTACACAGAGATCAGTTTAATCCGCACAAGGTTTGGGGCAGGGAAGGTTTCTGATTGGATAGGGGGCGGGTGTTACGTGTTTACGTTTACCGGAAGAAAACACTGTAGTCCTCGCTCTGGATAACAAGATGCTTGATGACGCCGTTCTTAGTGCCTTTTTCAGGCTTGTTTTGCTTATATTCTTGAAGCAGCAGTATGACAACAACCTTGTTATGCTAATGCTTCGTCTGTTGAGGAGGAGAAGGGAGGTAGAAGGTCGAAGAAGGGAGATAGAAGACCGTGCTGTGGTGAATGGAAACCGGTGAGTGCAACGAGTCCGACTGCTCTATCTCAGCCCGTTGCTATGCGCGCTATATACGTCACTGCGCCAGAAGGGCAAGGAAACGAGCATGTGCAGAAAGACAGGAATGAACTTAAAGAGGAATGAGTGTATACAAGTGTGAGAAATTCTTTCATTCGGGTTCTGAAAAGAAATATTCCAGCCCTGTAGGGTTGGGTCGGTTTGAGGAAAAAAAAACAGTCCGGGTTTTGTAAAAAAAACGCATCAAGTCGGTAATACTGGATTTTCACCACTTGGGGGCGCAATTGACTCATTTAAAATAAAAAACGACCTTAGGACAACAGAGTGACAGTAACAAGTTGTTTCTTTTATTCCTTACAAATAAATTTTGTAGCTGACTCAATCAGTGCAAACAAGGGTTGCCTCCTTCGTCTGGCTCAAAGCCAAAGTGTTGCCATAGTGGCGCATTCCTTGATTTCGTCGAGACTAAATTGTCCGCCATTATCGACTCCCCGTCACTATTAAACAAACTCCAGGCTACAGTAGAGGCGCATGCGCACTTGCACCTCCTAGCTCAGTCCCCGCCCCACCCCCCTCTCTCTCCTGCTTGTTGTGCGCTTGGTGAAGAGGCAGACACAGGTGCTCACAGACTCTGGCGTACTATAAGCGGAGCGGACTACGTGTAAAAATGTCTGTGAAAAATCCCTGCGATGTGAAAGATACATGCCGAACAGTCTTTTGTGTGACGCTGGTGTGCAGAGCGAAGTCCGCGCAGTCGTGCTTTGCGCGCACAGGGCTTGCGGACGTCCACTTTTACCGGGCGGAACCTCGGCGGCGTCCGCTCCGCATACGTTCTGCCCGAGTATGCGGTCCGGTCGGTCTCAAAAAATAAAACCTGGTCCAAGACGGAGTACCGGACCGAATTGATATTACCGAGAACCGACCCAACCCTACAGCCCTGTGCACCCGATTAGATTTTCTTTCGGGTTGGCTGTTTTCATTCGGGTTGAGGTGTTTACAAGGAGCATTTCTATTCAGGTAGGGCTTCCAACCCGAATGCAAAAGGAATACATGGCTCGATGTAAACGCACGTACTGTGACCTCATCACATGTCCACATTTGGTCATGGACTTTCGGTCCGGCTGCGTATCATGCCGATGCTTAAGGACGCCTTTTTTCATTGGTTTCTGACACCAGAAGTCACTGCCCAAGCGCCGGATTTCGACGACTTCAGAGTGAGACCGGGCTCAATTATAGTACTTTTTATTCCACTACATTTGCTCGATAGCTTTTAGTTACTTTTCAGATTACGATTTTTCATACCCTTCCTGTCCAGTGAAAACCATGTATCTCCAGATTCGTTATTTAAAATATGAATGGGTGAGGTGTTCCATTATGCACTGAGAAAAGTTTCCTACTTCTTAAAGATCTCTACAAATTAAATGTCAACATAACTGTAAACATGTCAGTGTAAACATGTCGTCATTACCCTGGTTCTTCCTCTCTGTCAGCGGTGACTTTGTGGCATTCTTGGAGTTCCCTTTGGGCTCTGCGAGGCGGCTGCCCTTCTGCTGGAGGTATCGGCGGCTGTTCCTGCGGTAGGCGTCCTGGCTGAGCCGATTACGAGCCTTGTTGTGGATGCTCTTGGCATTTCGGATGGTGGACCTGAGACACAGGAAGGACATGCAGAGTTTTAGAGGTGAGCAGAGGAGGTGGGTGTTGACTTTCGTCTGTCTCATTTCGTGAACTCCATATCTGAAGAATTTTTCCAGATTTGGCACAAACGTCCAAGGACTTTTTACTACTTTTTATACTTTTACTACAGTCACACTGTTAATGCAGGACAGTTACTTGTAACAAAATATTTAAAGTGTGGTCTTAGGATCTTAATACTTCCACCTATAGATGAATACAAACTGGTTGTCTACCAGAACACACGCTTAAAGAAACAACCAAATATATAATAGTTGACCTCGTACATGTCATATATCATTTGCTCTTCATCAAATTAAAAACATAATGTGATGAAGTCACAGATAATGTAGGTTTTTAACGTCTTTACACAAACTTCTCTCTCCTGAAATATTAAATGTGTAGTGAGAGAAACAGATGAATCGATGTCAGTGTGCAGCAGAGAGTGAAATTAAAACCTGTGGTGAAAGAGAGTGAACTTCCCTTTAATCTGAAGTGACTCAATACAGCAGCAGAGTGTCCAAACAGGAACTCTGTGTCAACATCCGCGAGTATCAGGTCATCACACAGGAACAGTCGCACTTTAAATTGTATCTTAGACAGTAACACAGGTGGACTGATCCACGTATTGTTATATATCATACTGTAATTATTATTTACTACAAATTATACTACACCACACAGTGTCATATGCGATATTCAGTGTTATTGAACTACACTTTGTTGTGCTAAAATCTACAGTAAAAATATGAAACAATAATATAAATAAATGTGTGTTACTGTGTTCATGACTGTAAAGTTGCAGCAGGTGGAGCTCATTGTGATTATTTTATATACTGCTGTGTACTTTGATATATATTTTATATTATTAACAAATAAATGTGAAGTAGAGGTATCATGTGGAGAAAATGGAAACACAAAAGTACAAGTACATCAAAATCATACGTCAGTACAGAACATGTGCATGTGTTTAGCGACAAAACAATATATGAATCATCTTGTTTTTAGTCTCTGACGTACCTGCGAGGTGGAGGTTTCTGTCCCTGCAGGTTCACCCTCTCTGCCTCATATCTCTCTCTCTTGCCGGCCTTCTGCAGGAACATGGAGGGGAAATAACCGGTCTCGTCTCCTTTCCTGTTCAAAACAGCATTTACACCGACACAATGACGTCTCCAGATCAGCCCACCAGTGTTTCTTTTTCAGAATAACTCAAAGGTCAGCAGTGTGGCTGCACAGGTAGCGTACCTAACGACCCACCAGCCATCCAGCAGCCTGTGAATGACCGACACGGTTTCACCGAGCTGCAGAGAGATCTCGTCCTCCTGCTCCGCCTTGTAGGCTTTGATGGTGACGTGCAGCTCTCCTGCAGGGACACGACACTGCTGTTAAAAAGACTGAAAGACTGTATTATATAATTCAGAAAACAGTGTCAGCAGCTTACCTTCATAGTTTGGCTCAGCGTCCTCGGCCTCCTCGGGTCCGTCCAGAGGCTCCAGGTAGGACGCAGGAACCCAGCCTCGTTTAGACTCACACTGACAGAACCACCAACCTGGACACAACAGCAGGAACACAGCAGCTCAGAGCCTGGACTCATTTATTACAGCTCAAGGGAAACTGTCAGTATCTGTACTAGGGATGTTCCTGGCGAATAATTTCCCTGTCGACTAGAAGAAAATTTTAATTAAAACGAGTCGACTAAGCAATGTGGCGATCTGAGCCCGATGGTACCCGTCGGGTACCATCGGGCTCAGATCGCCACACTCTAGTGTGTGTATGTGTCCCTATTGGGGCCTATCTGAATTTCTGTCTTTGAGAGATATTATTTTGTAATATAACTGAATTTTCTATCCATACATATAAATTTTAAGTTTATTTCCTTTATTAATCCCCCTGAGGGGAAATTCACTGTTTTCACTCTTGCCTGTCAATTACACACAGGTCTGAAAGACACACACATGCACAAACAGGACCTATACATGCACAAAGTGGAGAGATGTCAGAGTGAGGGGGCTGCCCTTTGGTCAGGCACCACGAGCGGTTGGGGGGTTCAGTGCCTTGCTCAAGGGCACCTCGGCAGTGCCCAGGAGGTGAACTGGCACCTCTCCAGCCACCAGTCCACGGTCCATTTTGGTCCGGACGGGGACTCGAACAGGCGACCCTCCGGTTCCCAACCCAAGTCCCTATGGACTGAGCTACCTTAAAATGATAAGGCATCTTTGAGTAAACTGCGAGTATCATTTAAGTAGGCTATGTCGTGACCGGTCGAGTATCCTCTTTTTTGGAAATCAAAATATGGTCACCCTAAGTTTTTGAGAAGAGTACTTTGTACTTTTACTTAAGTATTTTTTAAACACCAGTACTTTTACTTGTAATTGAGTACAATTTAAGCAATGTAACAGTACTTGTACTTGAATACAAATTTTCAGTACTCTTTCCACCTCTGCTCACAACACAAGCAAATAAGAAAATGCTGCTAATGCTCACAACACAAGCACGAAGCTGAACACCCAAAAAAGAAAACACACACCAAATTGAAGACGACAATGGAAATGTTTACAGGGGGACTGTAATCAGTGACGAACTTACTGGTTGTTGACATTTCCAGACTTTCCTCGAAACGCTGGTCAGAAGTTTAACATTTGTTTTAGGTGGAAGACAAGTAAGTGTAAATAACTTGATCCTCTATAATGTTAGCATTAATAAACACTTAGCTGTTGGAGCACATCAACGTGTCGTTGATTCTGGTCCAAGCATCTAAGTTGTTTCTGGTGGCCAACTGTACTGTACGTACAAATTTGAGTGACATTGGCTTCACTTAAGCATGTTTATGCCTCTGTGCCGACGTGACCATAACCAGACACTGTGACCATGTGTCTGTCTCATTTCGTGAAGGCAATATCTCAAGGAGGCCAGGAGGGAATTTGCTCAGATTTGGCACAAACATCCACTTGGATTTAAAAATGAACTGATTTGAATTTGGTGGTTGAAAGTCACAACTTGGCTCGGTCTCAAGAATTCATACACTAAATAAGATAAAATGTCATCTTGAGGGAGCTTTTGCAAATTTGGCACCAACGTTAATTGGACTTAATGATAAGCTGTGTATATTTTGGTGATAAAAGGTCAATGTGACCTTGCATCTGTCTCATTCTGTTCGAATTTGGTACAAATACCACTTGGTCAAAGGTCACTCGACCACACAAAATATGTTTTTGTCCATAACTGAAGAATTCATTCACTAATTCTGATCAAACTTGACACAAATGTCTAACAGTATGAAATAATGAAGGTCAAAAGGTCAAAGGTCAACTTGACTGTGACATCATCATGTTTTAACGTCATATCTCAGGAACAGAAGGGGAGACATTTGGTCAGATACTGAATTGGTGACTCTAATCTTGAAACTGTGCTGATTGTATAGATCTTCTGTGTGTGAAGCATCCATGTTTTCACTGACATGGATGGAGACTGTCAGAGACACTGGACTGGTGGGCGGAGTCATACAACCACAGGGTGGGCTGGTGGACGGAGTCATACAACCACAGGGTGGACTGGTGGGCGGAGTCATACAACCACAGGGTGGACTGGTGGGCGGAGTCATACAACCACAGGGTGGACTGGTGGGCGGAGTCATACAACCACAGGGTGGACTGGTGGGCGGAGTCATACAACCACAGGGTGGTAGTTCTAGTTTTTCAAGCCACCAGAACCTGAACCTGACACAACCCTGCCTGTCTTTTTGCCTGTGATTTTCTAGCTCCACTCCTGCCGTTCTGTGGACTTCATACATCTTCTGTTCGGATTTCCTACCCTTGGCTTTAGACGTATTGGATTTAAACTTGTCTCACCGTTCTGATTTTTCTCAACGATTTCCACTAGGTCTCCAGTGTGCAGATCGATCTCATGTTTGGACGTCTTGGCAAAGTCTGCGACCACTCTGTAGGTGTCCAGTATGATGGGGCCGGAAATCTCTGAGAGGTAAAACACATGATTATGTCTTTTAATGTCAGGAAACACCTTCACAACATTTACTGGAAAATAACATAAAAATGAAGCCAGCAGCCGGAGTTAAAGTCGAGCCCTGTAGGCTACAACTGACAGTATCAGAGAAATGTACTCTCACAAAATATATATACAATACAAAACAGTAACCTGTATGTTTAAACAATAATAAAAACAAAAAACATGCAAAGGAAAGACCTTTAGAAGCTGATCAGCCATCATTTTGTTCAGTATTCAGTTACAAGAGACAGATTTTCCTTTTCCAAAATGTTTTTAACAATCAAACGTTTAATTTAATTAAATGATAAATAAGAAAATTCATAATTAAATAAACATAAATAGAAAAAACAGTAGAGATACAGAAGTTTCAGCTAACATGCTTTTTCTTATTCAGCACAATGAATGAATATTACAAACACTGAACAGTGTTTCATGTCTCCATCTGCTGGTGGGCAGAAAGTGGCTATATCAATACAAGTTATTGGCCAAATGAGTTGTTTTAAATCTGCATATCGGACAGTGGCAAAAAATCCAATATTGTGCATCCCTAGTGCATAGCAAACAAAATACTGAATAGCTCCATTAACTTGAAGTTAAACCGGGTAGTTGTACCTGTGCGCTCAGCTCACAGGTGGGAGCTCAGACTCAAAGTACTTTGGTTATATTTTGATTCAGTTTGACACAAGGTGCAGAGTACTGTCGAGCTACTGTGAGCTTTTATTTATAAGTTTTTATAGTGAAAGGAGCCATTCAGAAGCACACTGGTGTCATTATTTTCCATCACTCGGCTGTGGCAGCTTGACTACGTTGAAGGGACAAAATAGCAACACACGATTAACGCGATTTTAAAAAATATGGCTCAATGTTCGGACCTTAATTGCATCGTGATTAATGCGTTAAGTGAAAACCCAATGAAAATATACCATTTTTAAATAACCTCGGGAAAGACGGAGACAGACAGAAAAGTTTAGTAAAGATTTAGTGAAGCAATTTAAAATGACTCTTACCGGATGCGTTGCCTCTGGCCAACTCTCTGGACACCACAAACGTCTCGTTTCTTTTCAGTCTGAGGAGGAAATGATCGTTATCAATCTGTCAGGTTACAGATCGTCTGTTTGATTGATTTACTGACACATCTTCAGGTCTGACACATCAGCTCTAACAGAAGTGTGTGTGATATACTGACGTGTTTGGGGCCGGTGGGTTTTCGTCCTCGGGTCGAACCTTGAGGAAGCTGCCGAGGTGTTTGCAGCGGGAGATGTGAGACGGCAGATTGATCAATGAGTGGAAGTATTCGGCCAAGGTGCTCTGCCTGGTTTCTGGGGACTTCTGGCTGTACAGCCATCGCGGCGCTGAGGACACAAACACAACCAAACATGACCACATCTGTCACACATTAAATTAAAATGTTCCCACAAAGATCTCTGGGTTTTTATGCCTCCACCCCGGTGACTGCCGTGATCGGAGGAGTGATGTGTCCGGGTTGTCCTTCTGTCTGTCTGTCACATTCTTGTGAATGTGATATCTTCCATGCCTCCATGCTGGCGATAGCCAGAAGCAGACACTGTGACCTTGTGTCGTTTCATTTTGTGAATGTGATGTCTCAAGAAGGCGTGGAGGGAATTTCCTCAGATTTGGCACAAGCATCTACTCGGAGTCAAGAATGGACTGATTAGAATTTGGTGGTCAAAGGGCAAGGTTACTGTGACCTTGCATTCGCCTCAGTTTGTGAACACAATATTTTAAGAGCTCCTTTGAAAAAAAAATTCCATATTTGGCACAAACGCCTACTTGGACACTCAAATGAACTGATTAGAATTTGGTGGTCAAAGGTAAAGGTCACTGTGACTGGAATCCGCCGCATTCTTGTGAACGTGATATCTCAGGAATACCTTGAGGGAATTCTCCAAATTTGACACCAATGTCCACTTGGACTGAAGTTTGTACCGATAAGAATTTGGGGAGCAAAGGTCAAGGTCACTGTGACCTCACAAAACATGTTTTTGGCTGTAACTTAGGAATTTGTGCGCTAATTATGACAAAATTTCACACAAATGTCTAATAAGATAAACTAATTAAGTGATGACATTTTATATCCAGGATGGTCCCTGTCAGTGTTATATTATTAAAAATAAATCATATTGTTGGAATATTATGATGTAAGCAGACATTTTAATGCTGCAGCTGGTGAAGGTAAATCACATTTAAACTTCTTCATATCCTGTTGGATGGTTTAATCTGAGGCACAGTGTCATGTTTTATAACTTCATCACATTTTGTTCATAAAATCTTAACCTGTAACTGTAGGTGTCCACAGACATAGTAAAGAGTAAAAAGTACAATATATGCCTCTGAAATCTGCTGGAGCAGAAGCACACAGGAGCATAAAAATTGAAATACTCAAATAAAAGTACGTCAAAGTTGTACTTGAGTACTCAGTTACTTTTTACAGCTGCATTCAACAGGTAGTGATTTCCAGATCAGTGAAGTTAGGCTGCTGTTGCATCAGGATTTGGGTTTTGTTGTTGCTTCACTTTCTCTACATTGCAACAAGTTCTGTTTTGTAATTAAAGTTTCAAAAGAGGAGTACGTGCAGATCTGAGTTCTGTTTTCATGAGAAAAGCAGAGGAAACACTTGAACAGGAACAGAAAATAGACCTGCTCAGTGTCAATGATTCTTTATGACACCTGGCTGTCAGAAAAAAAAAAAGTTAAAGCAAGAAGCTGCAGCTCCTCAGATGGATGCAGGAGTCACAGAGTCCATAAAGCAGCTGTCAGTAGTTAGTTTCACTTCTTCTAATGTTGGTTCTTGATTGTGAAAATGGCCAGATGTGTTTATTCGTTTCTCTATGAGAGTGAGAGGAGAAGATGCATGTCAGTCTAACCTCTGTGTTTCAGTGTTGGAGCTGGAGTCATGATGTGGTTATCCTAGCTTAGCATAAAGACTGGAAACAGCTCGACAAAAGCTCTGAAACAAACCCACCAAAGCTCACTAATGAGCATGTTGTACTGTGTTTGTTTCACCTTTCACCAAACATTTTATATCCTTTACATAAAGTGGAAGTGTATATTTCCTCCTGCTTCCAGTCTTTATGCTAAGCTAGGCTAACCACATCCTGACCTCAGCTCCGTTCATATTGAGAATGAACCGCTGCACCTCCCAGAACCTTTTGGACAGATTCATATATAATCTACTGTGAATATTTGTGATCCCCAGAGACTGTTGGCATGCTGTTAACAAACCAGCCTCTCTGGGGAAGTTTATTCCAGCGCAGGGAAGGAGGCTTGTTGAACCTCAGATTCAGGAGGAGCGATGTGGATTCTGTCCTGGTCGTGGATCAGTGGACCAGCTCTTTACCCTCGCAGGGCTGCTGGAGGGATCGTGGGAGTTTAGTCTACATGTGTTTTGAGGACTTGAAAGCTTATGACAGCATCCCACAGGGAGTCTTGTGGGGGCCACTACGGGCGTACAGGGTACAGAGGTAGCTACTATGAACTATTTGGTCCCTCGAGGTGCAGCCAGTTTGGGGACCTTAGAGTTGCATCTCTCCTCCTACCTCGAGTGAGTTGCAGAGTGTCTGAGATATCGGCCGTAGAGATGTCTGCCTGTCTGGATCTAGATGACCCTCATCTTAACTCATGACTTTGTTGTGAGCAGTTTCATCTAGAAACTATTTTCTCTCTTCCGAACTACACCTGCCAACCGTATCACTGCAAAGAAGGAGGCGTGCATCTACTCATGAGGTCTTTCCCATTTCCTGATGTTGTGCCTCCGCAATCCTCTGGTTTGTGAACCGGAAATCAATCTCAGCGCTCCGCCTTGAAGGATGTCCCAATTTCTAAGCTTTATCTCGAGGAGCGAGGAGCGAGGAGGCCTGCCGGAGGAGCAATGATTAAGGATACACTGCTGTATCTTTTATGGAAATCTTTACTGTAATCAGAAAAAGAGGTGTGACACACATCTGAGAGCAAGAATATGTACATATATATATACTAGTCCATACCCATTATGTACAGCATACCATACCATGACTTAGTCATACCAAACATTAGAAACACCAACATTGGTCCACAGGGGGAGCCACAGCGATCGGTCACATTTTAGCCATTTTGAAGCATTTTTCTGTTGTTATAGCGCCACCCAGTTGCCAATTAGAGTTAAATTTCTCCAGTCACCTTGAGGCGTCCTGTTCTACATATCTACCAAGTTTAGTAAAAATCCATATGGCTGTTAGGCCTAGATAAGAAATGAGCTCTCTAGCGCCCCCATTTTGTTTGATGGGGTCAATAATGGAGGGGTCCCCTCAGATTATGTGTGGTCATATGCCTACAAAGTTGCGTGGTGATGGGTGAAACCCTTGAGATGTTATACACCTTTATGTGATGAGCCACGCCCTCCGCAATATTCATTGCCTTATAGAAGCTCAGTTTTAGTAAGTTTTCCAACTTTTGCCAAGAGGGAACTTTAGATATTGGTCCCTAGATTATGTTCACCCAGTTTCATGCAGATCGCTCAAACTTCCTAGGAAGAGATCCATTTGAAGTGTTTTTCAAAAAATTCAAAATGGTGGAAAATCTATATAAGCGGAAGTTATGGGTTCTTGAGGCAAATGTGTTCCTCATGAGGAGAGACATCTCTGTGCAAAGTTTCATGTCTCTGCGACATACGGGGCATGAGATATGCCCATTCAAAGTTTGACATTTCAATGGGTTGCTATAGCGCCCCTCTTTGGCCAATTGATGTAATATTGCTTCATTGGCATCCTCCCATGACCCTCTACCATTGTGCCAAATTTCACATGGATTGACCAAGTCAGTGAGGAGAAAAACGTGGAACAGACACACACAGAATTTTCATCATTATATAGTAAGATATATATACTGTGTATATATGTATATATATATATATATGTGTGTGTGTGTGTGTGTGTCAGTCTATTTAAATAGGCTTATTACTTTTCATACAGACATTTTTAGTGCTTTACAGATTCACATATTGAGGCCTAAGGCTCTATACTGTGAACATGCTGTACAGGCCTGTTAGTAACGTGCCGATTGGCTCTAACTCCGCCCACCTGAATATTTACTCCGATTTAAAGATGAGCACCTGCATAGTCGTTGTACTCCGTCCTCTACAGGCCCTGTGCGCTGTGTTGCCTCTTACATTATGTATTGCACTGATGTATAAGTGTTTTATTTAACGATCAGAGAGGCTGCTTCCAGTCGTAAATCTTTCCATGTGCACAGCGAAACTCTTAATGGAGACATTATTATTGTTTTATTTGAAGTTCTTCTGTTTTGGTGAAATGAAAATGGAAACAGGTCGAAACAGGTTGGCCGATTTATTATTTAACCCAAAAGCTGTGCTTGAAACTCTTCAGCTTTAAACTTGATGCAGAAAATTTAAACGTCAGACTCAAGATCTGCATTTAATGTCCCAGCATGAAGGAGACGTGGAAAGTTTTCAAAATGAAATGAATTTTACTGAGTAAATATTATGTGTGATAAGCGTCTTTTAGACAGACAGACCAGAGAACAGTGAGAGCAACAACGACCTCGTGAATAAAACAAAACAATGATACTCTTTTTCAGCCTCACTGATGGACTGAAGGTTTCTGTGTAGATTAAATAGAAATAAAAAATGAAAGCGACGTGATGCAGACAGTAATTGTGACTGTGATTGCACAGCTTCATTCGGCAGCGTTTATGTAACGTTCGATCACAGAATTAAAACGACTGTCTGTCTGTTTCTATGGTTATAGCTCAACATGTTGGACAAAGTGCGTTAATAACATTTTCCCTCAGCTGACAGTCAATCGCTCGTATATTGACACTGACTAAAGAGTGATGCTACTCAAAGAAGCGATTAAAACTTGGAACATAACCGGGTCCAGGTTAGGGTCTGCAGCATGGGTCACCATGGCGATCTATCCAGGTTTAAAGAGAGCCACCTTCGTAGGACATAAAACTGACTTCAGGCTCAACATATCTCGCTAAGAGACTAATCTTGCTTTGTGGTTCAGCCCTCAGGTGAGAGGAAATATGTGTTTTTGTTTTGGAGGTGAACTGTCCCTTTAAACACCTGAGCTGAATCTAATCTGCTGTGTCTGTTTGACGTTTCCTCTGCCGCCACGCTCACGACAAACTTTACATTTTTAGCTCCACCACTGGTCAGAAAGACAACCATTTTGTTCTGTCCAGTAACTTCACTCTGGAGTTTTTTAGAGTTTCTTTATCAGGCTTGCTTTTTGTCTTCTAGTGTTTTCTGTGGAGGGTGAATAGGCACACTCTCCTCTCCCCCAGCTACTCTCTCCTGCGGGGTCCCGCAAGGTTCAGTCCTAGGTCCAATTCTTTTCTCCATTTACATGCTTCCCCTCGATCAAATCATTCAAAAATATGACATCTCTTTCCACTGCTATGCTGATGACACCCAGCTCTATCTTCCCCTCAAACCAAACTACCAATCCAAACTCACCAACATCTTCAACTGCATCAGTGAAATCAAGTCCTGGATGGCAGTAAACTTCCTTCAACTAAATGAAGCTAAATCCGAAATCATTGTCTTTGGCCCCTCTGACAACATCAACCTGATATCCAACAGTCTTGGCAACCTGTCCACTCTTATCAAACCTCACGTCAAAAACCTCGGTGTCATTTTCAATTCTGCACTCAAGTTTGATCAACAGGTCAAATCAGTAGTCAAAGCCAGTTTTTTCCAACTTCGCACCATCGCAAAAATCAAACCATTCATCAGTTCCAAGGACCTAGAAAAAGTCATCCATGCTTTCATTTCCACCTGCTTGGACTACTGCAACTCTCTTTACACCGGAATTAATCAGTTATCTCTCTCCTGTTTACAACTAGTACAAAACGCTGCAGCCAGACCTTTGACAGGTGCCCTTGTCCTAGCCTCTCTCCACTGGCTGCCAGTGCAGCACCGTATTGATTTTAAACTTCTTTTATTCACATACAAAGCCCTGAATGGAGCGCCCCCCCCCCCCATGCTCCACCTCCAGACCCCTCAGGTCGGCTAACCTAGGGCTTTAACTGTTCCACGCACTTATTTTAAACTCAGGTGTGACCGTGCCTTTGTGGTCGCAGCCCCCAGACTCTGGAACAGCACCCCCCCTCTGTCAGACTTGCCCCCTCCATCGACTCTTTAAATCAAGGCTAAAAACGTTCCTGTTTACTAAAGCTTTAGAGTCCTCCTGATGTTGCCTATGTGTTTATTTGTGCCTTGATCTATGTTTATTGTTTTACTTCACTTGTTTCTCTTTTAATCATTTTTAACTGTACAGCACTTTGGTCAACTTGGGCTGTTTTTAAATGTGCTTTATAAATAAATTTGACTTGACTTTGACTTGAATACAAAGTGCCAGACCGTATTCATCTTTTTCACTTTTGTTGAAGTGCCAAAAGCTCAAAAATCTGACAATGATTTGAGTGTCTGTAGCATCGTTCTCAGCTGCTTCAACAAATAGAAAAAGAGAAGTAGATTCACCCACATGAGCTGCAACAGCCACAGGTGCTTCCTCACTGAACATGACGCCACACAGAGAGGTTTTTGTTTATAACTAAAAACATCTTTAAAATGTTTCATGTGCTTCACATTTATCTGTCGTCTGTGATCAGATGAGTCATTAATAGTGTTATAGTTTGTCCTTCCACTCTGCAGCTTCTCAAATCAACTAACTCATCAACTAAGCAGAATGACATCCTACAAAACCAACATGCAAATGTAACACAGTCTGTAACACATGAGCTGCTTAAGTGTAGTGAGGAGTATAGTCGTCACCTGGTAGTGACGGGATGATTCTGTCCTTCTTCTCTATCTGACCGGCCTCGATGGGAAACATTTCCTTCAGAGATTTCTGCAACCAAAACATGAAACTTTTCTGAACAGATTCAAGAGCTGCATTTTATTTTGGCACAAATCAGCAGAGCTTTTATTCTGTAGTGCAGAAGGAGCTCACGTGGAAGGTGTAGATCTCAGGATATGTCCTGTAGATCAGCTTCTCAGAGAGGTCGCTCCATTTCACCATCAGCATGTACACCTGCACAGGTTACATCACACTTTAACACAACATCTACTATCTTCAAAGAGTCTTGAGTCCATTCTAAACTCTGACTCGGCTCTCCTGGTTATTTCAGAAAGAAGCTCTCTACATTCGTAGATTTAAAGCAGCAGAATCTGCAGAGTAAATATTTGAAGCCTTACGTAGTGCTGACTCGGGAACGAACGTTTCTCGAAGCCCAACAGCTCCACGTGCCTGACATAGGTCCCGTCCATACTGACGCTCAGCCGACTGACAACTGAGACGAAAAACAAGACATGAGGCTTATATATATAGTGTGTGTGTGTGTGTGTGTGTGTGTGTGTGTGTGCAGTATGTCATCACAACCCACAAGAGTCAGTTCCTCTTTACATGTCGATGAAAGTCATTAAACTTTATGACAGAAATAGAAAGAAGGAAATACTTCTGCTTTGGAATAATAATGAGACTAATATTTAAATCGATTAAGAGCAGCAGCAGCAAAAACAAGTAAAAGTCACAAAGAGGTCAGTGTTTCCCTCAGGCAGCGTCTAATAATAATTTTAATTCTAGATGAATCTGTTGATTATTTCCTTTTGTCTGAGAACAGGAGGGACGACGGTGGGTTCAGTCACAGTGAACTTCAGTCTTGTGCATATTTCAGTTTTTCTCTTTTTCACTTGTATTAAAGTCTATTTCCTGTTTAAGCTCTCAGTAGCCGCACTTGCTAATTTTATATCTTGTACATCTGTGAGCATGTTATCTAAAGCGACACGCCTCGTGTTTCTGCGCTCTTGGTGCCTGGTGTTTCTGAGATAAGATGAGGTATGGTAAGATTAGGTAAGATAAGATGAGGTATGGTAAGATTAGGTAAGATAAGATGAGGTACGGTAAGATTAGGTAAGATTAGGTAAGATAAGATGAGGTACGGTAAGATTAGGTAAGGTAAGGTAAGGTAAGGTAAGAGAAGATAAGATAAGATAAGATAAATGATGATCCCACACCAGGGAAATTCACGTTACAGCAGATCAAATAGCACAGAGAGAATAGCAGAGTCAAATGGTGATAGAATACTTATAGAATAAGATAAGATAAAATACAAAAATATATATATCAGAATTAGAAAAGATAAAATACTACATTTAGACACAACTACACACTAAATACTATTTACACTTTAGACACCTTTCACTAACGCACATATGGAAACAAGAATGTGTATGTGAATATATGTGTGGGTATATATTGAGCTGCATGGGATCATTTGTCGGAGCGCTCTGAACTCCATCTCAGAGGGCCCCATGTCATCTCAGCTTTTTTCCCCATTGTCCAGTGGGACGATTTGAGAGGCGAGGCTTCTGTGGTGGTCATGACAACGAGTTTACAGTTGGTAAACAATGGAGGAGAAATTGGTGGTAGCTGTTGTTAGATACTCAGAGCTTTACGCTGTCACCCTCTGCCTGTCCATTTCAGTAACTAGATACTCATCACTATGAAAATAAGTAGGTCGTTGTCGCCACATTAAACAGTAGATGGATTACACATGGAGGAAACAACAAAAAAGTGTTTTTTTACCTGAGGTATTCATTTAAAACAAATAAAGGTGCCACTGTGTTTACTTCAGTCCACTGCAACATCACCACATTCAGAGTGGACACTGGGAAACCTCCTGGTACTCCCAGTATGTCAGTATCTGTCTCTGACCTCAAAAGCAGGAAACACTCACATTAGCAGAAATCCTGCAAGTGAAGAAATTCCCCTTCAGGATGTTTCTCAACAGTCCAGCAGGGGAACCACCATGTTGCTCCCACACTGACTGCGTCCTCCACAGACACACATCTTTCATTTCTGTAGCAACCGCTGTGTGTGTCACTGCTGTGGGCTCTCAGGGGGGGCTTTCAGCTCATCCCGTGATTTCTAAAACTTTTTGCGAACAGACAAAGAGGAACAAACACAGTGTGAAAAGAAACACAAACAAACCCACATGAACGAACTTCCTCCACTGAAGGAAAAAGATTTCAGTTTGTTTTTAGATTTATTTTCACTTTAGACAAAGTCTCATGGCTCACTGCTGCTGAGGAAAATACAGATATTAAATAGATAAAGAAATATCATCATATCTGATACACAAATATATGAAATCATCTGTGTGTGTTTCAGTGAAGGTGTTTTATATTTAGAGAAAGCAGATGATCTGTTCCCCATGAGACATCCATCACTGACTCACTGCAGCTGATGAGCCACATGTTACTTCATCCAGAGCCTGCCGTGTGTATTTGTGTCTGTTATTGACAGAGCATCGAGTAACACTTTGATTTACAGGACCATAAATGCCTCGTCGTTTCCCAAAAAAACGTGGTGTGATGTCATCATAGATAGATAGATACATTACTGACAAGTAAGTTCCAATCCACTTTTTTTATATAGCACATTTTAAAAACACAGGGTTACCAAAGTGCTGCACAACAAATTTAAAAAACACAGTAAATAAATAAAAACAAGTATTCAAAACACTGAAAATACCTAAAAACAGAAAAATAACCAACCAGTGATTCAATCACAATACAAAACAGAGAGAGACAAAAACAAAAACAGAGACCGAGACAATACAGAGATCACACACTCTCATGATGGATTAAAAGCCAGGGAATACAGGTACGTTTTTAAGTGGGACTTAAAAGTTTCCAGGGTAGGGGCCATTTTGACGTGGGAGGGTAGCTCGTTCCATAATTTCGGAGCTACCACAGAAAAAGCACCGTCACCCCTAGTTTATTGTCTCGATTTTGGGACAACGAGCTGCAAAGGATCAGCGGACCTCAATACTCTGGAGGGGGTGTAGATGTGAATGAGGTCCGCGACATACTCAGGCGCCAGTCCATTTAACGACTTAAAAACGACAACAAGATCTTAAAATTAATTCTCAAGTTGAAGTACCACGATGTAAATACTGTCACTTGAAGGAAATGTTCCTCGTCCAAAATTACTGTAAATAAAAGTACACAAGTATTTACAACAAATGTAGTTAAAGTACAGAAACACTGGAACTCTGACATGTTCTCCCTGTGTCAGCGTGGGTTTCCTCCAGGTGCTCTGACATGTTCTCCCTGTGTCAGCGTGGGTTTCCTCCAGGTGCTCTGACATGTTCTCCCTGTGTCAGCGTGGGTTTCCTCCAGGTGCTCCGACATGTTCTCCCTGTGTCAGCGTGGGTTTCCTCCAGGTGCTCTGACATGTTCTCTCTCTCTCTCTCTCTCTCTCTCTCTCTCTCTCTCAGGTCTACACTTGATCACATTAATTATTGATTATTTCACTAAAAATCACCAGAATCAGCAGTTACTACTTTCTATTCTGACTCTTAAATACATTTTCCAGCTAATATCTTTACCAGAGTCAAATAATATTCACACAACATGACTTTAAGTTTTATTTCTGTATTACAGTATTTTTGCTGTAGATATTTATTACATGTTTCCCACCACTCCTTGTTCATGTTCTATTGGAAGACGTTGGTGTTCATCATATATTTTATGAAATACGTCATAGTGCTTAGATATGTAAGTTTCCGTAGTGTAGTGGTTATCACGTTCGCCTCACACGCGAAAGGTCCCCGGTTCGAAACCGGGCGGAAACAATGTTTTCTTGGTTCTAGATCGTGTTGATGTTCATACAGACACATTCAGCCTGCTGACACTCAGTGGTTTCTGTATTCAGTGATTAACACGAGTTTCAGCTGTTATTCCCTGGATGTTCCTGAATGCAGCATTTAATAGAGTGTGTGTAGTGCTGTAGTCATCACCTGATCCTCACAGGTGTAAAGTCCCCGGATCAAAATCAGCCGGAAGCACTTGTAGATCATGTTAATGTTTAGACACAGAGCGGATGTGTCGGCTGACCGACACTTGCTCCTGTGGTCATTTATGTAAATAGTTTGTTTGTGTTTTTTCTGATTGTTCGTGAATACATGTGTTACGTAGTTTCCGTAGTGTAGTGGTTATCACGTTCGCCTAACACGCGAAAGGTCCCCGGTTCGAAACCGGGCGGAAACAGTATTATTTCTTTCCGCTCGCTGTGATTAAAGTTCACATTTTACAACTTATTAAATCAGCAAACTGAGATTCGTACGTTAATTAAACGCAGCCCGCTGATGATTTTGTGTTTATATCGGTTAAATGTCCGCTGAATGAGACGTAGCCTGTGAAAGCTGATTTTCTGATGCGTCCCTGAACGCGTCCTGTGGGGGGAGTTAACATGTGTAGCTGCTGTTTGGCGGCGTGCAGCTGCAGGTCGTGACCAGTTCTGCTTTCAAACACCCGAGCACACATGACCGCAGACTTCACCCACCTGTCCACCCACCGGAGGGACCACCCAGTGCCCCGGTGTCCGGTAAGTGTTCACGTTTAACCGCTCCGTGCAGATGAACGCATCTGTTCCGCCTGCTGAGCTGCAGCCTGCCGCTAGCATCCCCTCTGAGAGGAGGCTAACGTGTTAGCATCACCGTCAGCACGTGCTCAGGACGTTCGCCTGTAATACACAACATCACCGTCACCACATGTTCACGAGCTCCACTCACAGTCCCGCAGGAATCACACGAACCGAACTGTTGGAGACTTTTTAAGAGAAGTTGTGTTTGCACGTGTCGGCCATTTTGCTGCGTTCAGGTCCCATCGGTAAGAAGCAGATCGTGATTATTATTGGTTCTTCTGCTTTATTTGACAAAAATGACAAAACCAAGGTTTGAATAAGAACAGACACAAACAGGTAAATAAAGAAGTTCCATAAATTTAACACAATTAATAGTTAAAAGTGTTAACAGAGTCACGTGTAAAGGTTCACAGGTTCACAGGTCAGCGTCAGGTAGGGAAAGTGTCAGCAGTAAAAGTGCAGTGATATTTTGGGCTTCATGTAGTTAAAGTATTAGCAGTAAAAGTACACAAGTACTCTCCGCTCTGTACAAAATATAACAGTAAAAGTATTCTCAGCTTCATGTAGTCAAAGCACAAGCAGGAAAAGTACACAAGTATTTTATATACGTGCAGTTAGTCAAGTCAGCTTTATTCATACAGCACACTTCATACAGCAGGGCAGGTCCAAGTGCTTCAAGAGCAGTAAAATATAAAACATAATAAAGGACACAGGGTTACAATAGAAGAGTTTAAAAAAAGGTAAAATTAATAACTAAATGATTTATAGTCGCCATTAAAAATAACATAAAAGATTATTAAAATGAATTAAGTTCTGTGAGTGTTATGTAATCAAAGTGTTAGTTGTACACAAGTACTCTCAGCTCTATATTTATATTATATATTTATATTATATTTAAGGTTCTCCTGTTTGTGTACAAAGCCCTTAATGGTCTGACCCCATCCTCCATCTCAGACCTCCTGACCCCTTATTCTACGCCCAGGTTCCTCAGGTCAGCTGACCTGGGGCCCCTGGGGCTCCTGGCTGTCCCACACTCCAGACTTAAGCTCAGGGTGATCGTGTCTTTGCTGTGTCTGCCCCCACACTGTGGAACAGCCTCTCCCTCCCAATCAGATGTGCCCCCTTCACTGACTCTCTAAGTCCAGGCTCCCAACCTCCTGTTATTCATCAGCATCTGAGTCGCCCTGACGTGGTCCTCCCTGATGCTGCCTGTGTGTGTCTCTGACTGTGTGAGCTGTGTACCTGACAGCTGTGTTGCCTCTCATGTGTGAGATTAGCAGTTTGTTCGGTGACGTGAGTAGTTTTTAAATGTGCTTTATATAGAAATCTGTGTTGAGTTGAAATATATAGATATAAAGTATTACGAGCTTCATGAAGTCTAAGTATCTGCAGTAAACATACAGAACTATTATAAACCCAAGACGATGTCTGTCCGTCCGTCCGTCCGTCTGTCTGTCCTCCCACAGTTGAGAGCAGTGTTGATGTTTGACTGACATCTAGTGGTGAAGACTGTGTACTACACTGTGGTGATGATGATGATGATGATGATGACTGACCCATTGAACACTGATTATTTCCTCTTTTTAGATGCATTAAAATATAAATAAATACAGTCAGTGTGACAGAAACACACCTGTCTCTGTCCTGGAGCCCTGTAGTTTAACTCAGTGAAATATTCAGGCCTCAAATAAGATGCTTTTCATGGCCGTGTGGTGAATGTTCCAAAAAGATGTCGTTGTTTCCTGTCGGGAAAGTCGTTGCTTTTTACCAAGAAATGTATGTGTTACACAACAATAAGACAATACAGAATAAAAACAGAAACAGCTCCAGAGACGAAGCAGAGCAGAGGACAGACGTGGAGTTAAAGGGGATGTGGGATTTTAAATCAGTGGCTGCAGGTGTGTCCTTCCATCAGATACTGTTTGTTGTTAATTATTGCGATCGCAAGAAAGCGATTCTCTGGAGGGACTGATTATTGCTCTGTCGTCTGGGATCTTGTTCCAGATATTATCAATACGGCTACTTTTATTGGTACTCTTATTGATTCTTCTTCACTTTTAAAATAAGTGCTTTTTAGAAAAAGAAGTAATTTAATAATAATAAATTTAGAACAAGATAACTGAATATTTTAAATATAACTAAATGTTTCCAAAGCAGCAATTGTCATTTTATAAATAATATTCCTGACATCACAATACTGGGTTAAGTGTAGTTTTTATCAGTCACTGTAAGTCTGTCCCCTCTCCTCCAGTCCTCTGTCCTCCTGTCCTCCTGTCCTCTGTCCTCCAGTCCCCTGTCCTCCTGTCCTCCTGTCCTCTGTCCTCCAGTCCCCTGTCCTCCTGTCCTCCTGTCCTCTGTCCTCCAGTCCCCTGTCCTCCTGTCCTCCTGTCCTCTGTCCTCCAGTCCCCTGTCCTCCTGTCCTCCAGTCCCCTGTCCTCCTGTCCTCCAGTCCCCTGTCCTCCTGTCCTCCTGTCCTCCAGTCCCCTGTCCTCCTGTCCTCCAGTCCCCTGTCCTCCTGTCCTCTGTCCTCCAGTCCTCTGTCCTCTGTCCTCCAGTCCTCTGTCCTCTGTCCTCCAGTCCTTCAGGTTATCGTCACTTCGTTTCTGTTGTGGCCGCTCGGCTGTTCACTGACTTCACTCCGTGTCATGTGGGTGAGTGTGTGTTTGTGGAGGAGGTCGGCCTCGGCACATAGCGCAGGAACGAGGCTGCAGGATGATAATAAAATAAATCAAAATGTTAAAAAGAACAGATAAAATTAGGGCTGGGCGATATGGAAAAAAATATGACGATAATTTTCCCAGTATTGATCGTAATCAGTATTTCTCACGATATATAATTTCATGATGCTTCGGATTTGAAAAGTGTCCTGATGACATCTGACACCTGGAGAAACCAAATGATTTTCCAGCTTCCCGCAGCGCTCGTTGTAAAGCTGCGGCAGAGCGTTTTGAGAGAAATATTTCCTGCCTGAGAGCTCGACCTGCAGTCTAACGCTTTAATTCATTTCTTGACCCTCTCTGTCTCCACGGGGCTCAGGGCATCTTGTCTTTGGCTTGAAATTATGACACAGCGTCTGTTATATCTCTGCTCCTTTTGCATCGCTTCTCATGGGGGGTCACGGCGGAGGAAGAGGACACTGTTGATTGGTGTTTCAGTACCGCCCTGCTAGCCCCGCCCACATCAGCAGAGGTGCCAGGACGTTGAACACTTGTTGGTGGACTTACTGCAGTTTTGGTGGATTTTCATACTCTCAGTGTCGTCGCTGGGACGCCACCTTGTCAGGTGATGGAAAAGATTTGTTGTGTTTCCTGTCCTGGTTGGCACCAACCATATTTTGCAGACCATCTTTGTGTCGTCACCTTTCAAGTAGTCAAACCACGTCCAGATTATTGACACTGTGTGACCTTTTTTATCCACGGTTTGGTTGAAGGTCTTACTCAGCTTCACCGCCGCTTTGCTCCTCACTTACACTCATTTTCCCCTTTTTTCATTGTGTCCATGCTGCTTTCACTTTGTTCTCACCTCAGCACAAACTCTGCAGTAAAAAATGGCCGTGTACAATGACGCACAGCCCCAACACTGCAGACTGACTGACAGCTGTCTGCTAACTTCTGCTGTTTGGATTTATCTAGGTCTGTCCATATCGAGGAAAAACAACTTTAGTTTAACATCGTCGTAAACATACATTTTTGTTGCGATCCCGTTTCGAGATCGTGTTACGGCCCAGCCCTAAATAAAAGAACCGATGATGTCGGAGCTTATCAATACTGCTTTGATAATTTAACCCTGGGGCTTGTTTAATACCGGGTTTTGGTGCCCATCACTAGTTTTCAGTCGGAATAGTCCCACGAAAAATGGTTGTTTTTTACCAAGACACTGCTGCGTTTCCTGTGGAGATAGTGCTCCCAAAACAGTATTTCAAGCAAAACTGTGAACTTCTCCCAACCATAACGAGCTGGTTTTTGTGCTTAAACCTAACCACACACTAACCACAGTGCTTTTGAAATGTAAAGTTTAATAACGTACAAATTTATCTGTGGTTTGCAACAATGAACGTCAACACTTTTCTGGCCATCGAGTTGCACTGCTATTTAAAGGTTTTAGGAGCTAACTCAAATTCCATCTTCTGTCTCTACTCACAGATTGAGAAGTGATGCAGTGACAGCAGATGATGTCTACAGACACTCTGAAAGAAAAACAAGGATCTGGGTTTTCTCTGCAAAGGCTGCAAGTTGTTTTGGATCCAGTTCCTGAAAGAGACGCCGGGTTCCCTCAACAGTTTTGGGGTTTGGATATCAACATGGACGGCATTGAACACTACATCTGGGAGCGCCGCATCCACCATGGGGTCAGGTACCAGAAGAGCGCAGTCCCGTTCCCAGACTCTGTTGAAATCGGTTTGGAGTTCAACGCGGCCCTGGAGAGGAAGGAAAAGTTAGATATGTGTCTGCTGACAAACAGCGTGATGCTGGAGCTTTGTGAATTTGCCAAAACGGTGACTAGGTCTGAGATGTATTTCTTGTTTGAAATACTGGAGTTCAACTTTGACCTTGGTATGGACATGGTCGATGAATGGCAGTGTTACGACTTAACAAAACGCGTTCACACTAAAATAAGGATGCTGAGGGATCAAATCAAGTTTAAACCTCATAGATGGCTAGAAACATTTCTACTGCCACCCCTGAGCATTCCAGTAGCATCCGCTGGGTCAGAGCAGTCTGAACGCTACTACCCTAAAAGGAACACTGTCGTGGATAGTTCAGTCCTCACTGGAGGCAGCAAGAACAGCGAGTCTGCAGAACATCAGGATATGGAGAGTAACACAGCTGCAATAGTTATAAAGAAACAAGGAGGAGTCCGATTAAAATCAACAGCTGATGCTTACCCTCACTGTAAAGACCTCGGTGTGACTCTGGTTGTTCGACCAGACAATGCACCCAAAGAGAAGCTGGACCCAAATCTGATAACCAACGGCGTGATGATGGAACTACTCGACTTTTCCAGAGTGCTCTGTGGAACCCACACTGGGATAGTTTGCGACTTGGTCAAGCAAAACTTTGGTTATGAGTTGGTAAGAACTCTGTTCCGTATTCAAGTAGCCAGGCTGATGGAGAGGAAGTACGCCTGCCAAACACCCGAGGACAAGAGCGCTTTCCGAAAGGAGGTTTTTCAAGTCCAGCTGAACAAACGGGAACAGAAGCCTAAAAAGAGAAAAGACCCTGACACAGATTACCAAGAACTGGAAGAACCAACAATGGCCAGTAATAAAAGAGAGATGCTGAGGCTCGAGGACGATGATGCAAAAGACATCTGTCAGGAGAGCGACCTGTCATACATGTGTCCAGTTGATTTTGAGACAGAAATGCAGTCAGGTTCAGATGCCGAACCAGAGAACGTGAAGTTTGAGAGTTCTATGCCCGAAACAAAGTTTTCTCTGGATGTAAAGGAGGAAGAGGAGGAAGTTTTCGTCTCCCCACGGCAGCCTGAAATGAACGTCCACAACCCTTGTTTGTTTGACCTATGTCCAAAGGACACAACTCTAAAAGAAATCGGGAATCTGTTTTCTGAAGACAAAAATGAAGACGTGAATGTAAAAACATATAAACAGAAGCTGTGGATCAGACGTGTCCCTCGCTCAAAGGAAATCCTGAAGTCTAGTAGAGTGAACGACATGTTTGCCCAATGCAGAGCGAGAGCTTTAGACTTCAATATCGGCTCAGGCAGCAAACAAAATGTGGATCTGCAACTTTTCACCAACCAGGTGTTGTATGAAGTTTATAAATTTGCACTTGCAATGACAAAGAGTTCACGCAATTTCTTATTCGATATTCTGGGCAACAACTTTAACCTTTTCTTCCACAATGAAGTGCATCAGCGCAATTTTACATCTTACATGTTTGTGAAAGAAAAGATCCTCCAGAACCACCCTGACAGATGGAAAATGGAGTTCCTCAGCAGCCCCTTTCATTTCCCTGAAGTTTACAACATGGTTGATGTGACCAGTGATTTTCAAACTAGACAGGAAGCTGAGACAGAGCAGCAAACAAATGGGGATTCACAGCCCTCAGATTCAAGCCAGCAGGAAGATATGGAGCCACATCCGTTTTGCAAAAAGTTTGGCCTCAACCTTTGGTCAACAGAAGAACGTTTGGCGAGCCAAAAGCTTGATTTGACGGTCCTGACCTCAGGCGCTGTGCTGGAAATATTCGCCTTCATCAGAGAGCTGTGTGGATCGCTCAGGGAGCTAGTTAACGACATCCTCGAGCACAACTTTGATCTCGATCTGCAAAGTGGATTGACGGAGGCCTCACAGGTGATCCAGAGATGGTACTCCACCCAGAAAAGCTTGATGAGAAAGTACATCTCATCACCAAAGGTAAGCAGGTGGTTTAAAATGGTTGTCCCACTGAATGGACACTTGCTGCTTGATCCAGAACCACCAACTGCCAACAGCCTGGAGGATCTGGATTCAGAAGACTCAAAGCCAGAAGTGGAGGCTTTAGACAGAGATGAGGAGATAGAAGAGAAAAAAGTCATCCGCTATCACTTCTGCGAAGAAATCGGATTGGACCTTGATGTCAACTCTAAACCAGGCAAAACAAAACTCGACTTGGGAGTGCTGACGAGAGGAGTCCTCTTGGAGATGCACCAGTATGTGGAACGAAACTGCAGCCGATATGTTCCCGCTCTGTACGAGATTCTGGAGTACAACTTTGATCTGAGCCCTCAGGGCCATCGAAGGGTGGAGTTCGCCTGGTCCATCGCGGCGCAGGTCATCGCCATCGCAGGTAAAAACGGCAGAAATGGAGAATACCTGAACAAAGTGATAGAGTTGCCTTTCGAGGTGTCCGAGTCCTCGCAGATCGTCTGCAAAGAGGAGCCGGAGGACGGCTTCGGTGAGCTGGACCTTAACGATAACGACGACATTATGTTTGTCAGAGAACTGAAGCCTGTTGACATAGAAGTGGAGATAGATTAGAGTCGATATTCTCTAATAGAGTGCTACAGGGGTGACCTTTATTTGTGGGACAAACCGGAAGTTAGCGTCACCTTGGTTTCCGCAACAAAAAGTCAATGGAATTGTTTCTTTGGGTTATTGCAGAAAATAAGATCTGTGATGAACAAAAGTTTATGATACTTGTTTGTTTTGTTCAGCAAGATAATCTCCACAAACACCACTAGGATGATTGAAGCAGAAATGCAATCACCAGAAGTACAAAGCTGGCGTTAGACTATAAACGAACTACACTAGACGTTAGCGTCACCACCACAACAAGGCTGTAAAACTGTGTTCAGCGTGATGATGTTCTGTGTCTCATTGGGCCACTTGTTAGCAACCGCCTTTTTGAAGACACATAAAAGCTTCAGAGTTCATGAATGAGGTATTTACTGTTGAACTTTATGTCAAAGAACAAAATGTTGAAGTCTTGTGTTAATCACCGACCTTTTTTTAGATAACTTACCAAAAACACGTTGACTTCAAGACGAGGCAACAGGAAGTGCAGAAACGCTAACTAATTTTTGTGATTTAGGACACATGCAGCACTCTATTATTAATGAGTCATTTGCTTTGTAAAATACCATAAAATTGTTTCCTAAAACCCAAGATGACGTTCTCACATCACTCATTTAGTGTAAAACCTGAAGACGTTCAGTTTACAGTCACATGTGACAAAGAGGAGCAGCAAATATCGTCATGTTAGAAGCCAGAACTTGTTTAATATTTCTGCTTGAAAAATACTCAGTTGAAAACAGCTGCCCATTATTTGTCTGTCAGTCAATCAAGTCATTGCTTCAGCAATAAAAAACAGCACAAACTACAACAACTGAAATTAAAGTTGAATGAACACTGTACAGTATGTAGCCTTCACAGAGGTTGGATTTATTGCAGTGAGGGTTGCCACGGTACGATAACAGCCTCAGAAAATACTGTGGTTTCATGGTGTCAGTCAGAATGAGCCTTAAAGGAAAGAAAACAGACGGGTTGTGTTTGGTTGAACAGATGTTTTATTACTGTAATTGAAAGTTGAAAACAGATTTTTATGATGGAAGTTTGTGTAAAACGTCTCCTCTTTGGAAAAAAACTCCAAGAGTTTCAGTCTCCAGTTGCATTTTTTTTCCAGTATCATACATAAGCAAATGTACACTGTAGGATAACCCTCAGTTTTCATATCATGGTGTAGCTCATTATCGGTATATCGTTGCAACCCTAATTGCAATACTGTATTCAGCTGCGTTGGTTTAAGCCAGATGAACCTGATGACACACTGACAGCTGAATGTGATCATCATGTTTGGACCTTTGCTTTTAATGGTTAATATTCTGGAGAATGTCCACTGGGGCTGGCTTCGTCTCAAACCTCCCATTCTCTGTGATCACCTGTGCTGTTTTAATTCAGCCAAACTCACAATATAGTTTTTTCTACTGCACATTTATTTTCTGTTTGTGGAACCAGTACAATAAAGGGATTTGATCGCAGCTCATGAATGGTAACTGCTGCCATGCCGGGATTTGGTTTTACGATTAGGACTCGACATCTGACATCATCAGCATCAGTGGAGATTATTAAAGAAGAACTGCTGTATGATGGGATGTGTCTGACTGAAATAGACCGAGTGTCTGTATGTTCAAATGTCCGACCTCACACTTGGCGGAGTGGACTATTGAACGACCTGTAAACATACATGTGGATGAAACATGTTTTCGGCCTTGGATGTACATTTTGTTTTTATTATGTTCTGTTGTTGGGAATTAAAGTGTCTTTAATCTTCATTCTGTCTGTGTCAAATTTATTTCAGCTCACAGTTACAACACAGCACCTTTAAAATGTTCAGAGTCAAATATTCAACATTTTCAACCTGGTCTCACTCCAAAGTCTTGAAGCGTCAGGGCTGTGGACACTGTCCCGCGATGGGGCAGCAACCAAAGTTGAGATAGTGAAAGAGTGGGTGGATGGGTCCAACAAACATCGACTTTCACCCAGGAGGCCGGTGTTCACTTCCTGTAAGATTGTAAAGTCAAACCCTGGTCTTTATTCCTAAACCCAACCATGTGTTTGTTGAAGGAAAAAACACATCAGTTGGTGGTGGTGTACCAACGTAGTGTTTTTATTTTGAAAGAGACTGTATGCAAACTGTACATTTCCTGTGAAAACAGAAGTGTATTTTGAAAACAGACAATGCATGTAACAGGCTGAAGTTGACACGGCGTCCCAGAACGTCAACAACCAACACACCCAGGGTACCTTGGACGTCATATGTGGACGTGGAAAGTCCATGACCAAACGTGGACATGTGACGAGGTCACAGTGAGGATGATGATGGCGTTTTACAGAATGTTTTGTTCTTTAAACTTGACGTCCGGTGGGAAGAAAAAAAATATTTTTATTACATAGTTTTAGGCAGAAATGGAGTCTTAAAAGTTTACTTTTATTTAAAAGTAAAAAAAAAATTAAATCTGCCTCCATGTTAAGAATAATTCAACTCATTTTTAATGTCCATCAACTGTTTGAAAAATGTTCTAAAATCAGTCTTTCTGTTATTCTCGTACAGTGATACTGTTTTTGTTGCCTGGTTTCAAGACACACACACTAATTTCTGTATTTTTTTTTTTTTAAACAGGCTGAAATATTTTCACTGCACTGCAAACTAACTTTTTTAGGACTGAATTTTGGTGTTTATAAGATTGGATACAGGGTCAAAGACGTGAGTGCGGGATGGTAGACCGATACTGCATTTCATTCCTGACTGATATTAATCTGAATAAACAGCATGTCTCAATAAGCACAAGTATTTATTTAGAGTGCTCAGATTATTTACTGAAGTAAAAGTGCCCATACAACAACAGAACAACACTTCATTTGAAGTAAAGGTCCTGCGTTTAAAATCTCACCAAAGCAAAAGTACAGAAGGATTTCTTCTCTGATAGTATCATAGTAACAGTGTATCTGCTGCTGACGGACGTGCTCTGTAGTTGTACTTACACACAGTCGTCAGATATTTTGAATTTATTTTGCAGATCAGAGTGTTTCAACCTGTTGTAATAAAATAAAAACTGTTAATCAAACACAAAATTATTAGAAGCTGCCGTGTGTCGTCACAATAATCAAACTCCTCCCAGCAGATTATTGTAATCGATGACATCACTAATACTTAATGTTTAAACTGTTATAAAACTAAGAAGTCAATTTGCATTTAAATGATTCGTTTGAATGAGTAGAATTAATTGAACAAGACTTAATTGGCTCATAAAATGAACACTTACATTTCATCAGTGTGTGTACAGTGATTTTTAAATAGGCGTCCCATCATGCTCTCTGTCGGAGTCCTGCAGGTGATTAAACAGGTGTCACTAATGATCTCATCAGAAAACATGAACCTGATGGTTTTATTAAATAAACCTGAGGTGTGTGTTTCTGTTCAGTTTCCAGCAGATGGCGCCGGAGTCGTCTGGATCATCTGATGGGAACTCAGCACGTTTTATTTTCCTGAGTTTCCATGACAATAGTCTGATCAATAAAACACTGGTGTTTGGTCTCATTAATCACAAAGTGCCAAAACACAGTTTGCAAAGTCAAATATTTCAGTACCTTAAATTCAGTGCTGTTTAACTGTCAGGTGTCAGTGTTCACAGGGCGTCTGCAGGTCAGTTTTAAATTTGGTTAAAAGCATTAAATTAGAGCGACTGATAGCTGCAGACGCCCTGACATTAAAGCCCATATGTGGCTCAGCAGGGGCGGAGCACCAGATCCAGGGCCGCTGCGCTGCCTGTGTGGGAGACAGAGCTGTGAGTGTTTGTGTGTGAGGTGGATCATCACTGTTCCTATTGGTAGTTGCAGTCTGATGTGTGACACTGAGACAGCGTCTGCATGCAGGAGACAGATGGGTTTATAAGAAGACATTTCACGTGCAAGACGTATATGACGAGGACAGAGTGTCTCTGTCTCCGTCCCTCCCTCGGCCTCGCTGTTGATGTAGAAATAAGATTAAAATATTTAAATCATTTCCAACACTAGATTCATCTGAAAGGCCGACAGATGGAAAACTACTTTTTAACTCCGCCCACAAAGATCGATCCTTTTACAGTTATAGTTCAGCGTCCCGAGCTGCAAACCTTTGACCCTCTGTAGCTCCTGTGCTGTGTGCACAGAGTTAACAGACAGCCCTGCTGTTTATTGATGTCATTTCTCATGTACATGTTGTGCAGCTGTTTATTTTTTATGGTCTGTTTTTATAAAAGTGCTCCTGACGTCTCTAACGTGGCTTTCACACAGATAGGAATTTTTCGTCCATATCACTCAGCCCTGCTGTGAAAAGTGCACCTTCATGGGGGAACAGAAAAAGTTTGTCTCAGGTGAGTCAGTACAATAAACAAACCAGAGAGGACGTCAGAGGAGACGCCTGTGCACTGATGTGACTCGGCTAGAGAGACACAGAAAAGTCCACAGATGGATCGATGCAAAAGAGTCGACTTATTTATTTTCTGTGTTTTTAGACATCCGGGTGCAAAAAAGAGTAAAAACGGCAGCAAATGTTTCAGTCTATCATCAGTGCTCAGACACTGTTTGAGCACACAACTGTTTTCACTCTTTATCTCTTTTGTGCACCAATGTCTGAAATAAATCGACTGTTGTTGCGTCGACTTAAGTCTGTGGACATTTCTGTGTCTCTCTGGCTCAGTCACATCCGTGTGCAGGCGTCTCCTCTGCGTCCATCTGTAGATCATTGTGACGTTTTTCTGTATGTGTTTGCAGCCTCTCAGGACACTTGATGCTTTGAAGGCTGACTGCTACAGCAAACGTTTTTTTCCTGGAGGGTCTCTTACATTAGTGGGTGAGTCACTTTAGCAAACTCATCAATTAATTATTTTTAACTGATTAAGCAGTTCATTTAACGCCTCTTATCTGAGTCCAGCTCACTGTGATTGATTCATTATATTATTAGGAATAATTATAGGCCTTATTGTCCCCTCTGGTTTCCCATCATTCTTTGGCTGATACGATGGTTGAATAGGATGTTTTTATTGTACTGTACGTGATATGAAAATGGTTTTATAGTTTAATGCCGTCACAGAATCATATCAGTCACCTGAGGAATTTTACTGCACAACAAATACTTTTGATACTTTAAATACATTTTACTGAGGATGCTTTTGCACTCATGAAGGACTTTGTCTGAAGGACTTTTATCTGTAGTGGAGGATTTTTACATTGTTGTATTAGTACTTTTAGCACTTGTGCTTATGACACCGGAAACTGTGCCATCGTAGTTCCACTTGACTTAAGCACAGCGTTCGATACATTGGATCACGACATTCTAATAAAACACCTCCAGTTTGGTGTCGACATCAGTGGCACTGCATCACACTGCTTCACTTCCTGCCTCAAAAACAGCTTCTCTGTCCGCACAGGAAATCACTTCTCTTCTTCAGCCACTCCTTCCTGTGGGGTCCCCCTAGGCTCCATCTTAGGTCCTGGTCTCTTTTCGTTGTACATGCTTTCTCTCGGCCAAATTATTAAGCAATACAACATCTCTTCCTCTCCTGTGCTGACGACACACAGCTGTGTCTCCCTCTCAAACCTCACAACAAGCCCAATTCTGTGAGTCCATCACACTCTCACTGTGACCTCGTCACATGTCCACGTTTGGTCGTGGACTTTCCATGTCCACATATGACGTCCAAGGTACCCTGGGTGTGTTGGTTGTTGACGTTCTGGGACGCCGTGTCAACTTCAGCCTGTTACATGCATTGTCTGTTTTCAAAATACACTTATGTTTTCACAGGAAATGTACAGTTTGCATACAGTCTCTTTCAAAATAAAAGCACTACGTCTGTACAACATTGTAAATTAACATATTTTTCCTTCAACAACACACACCTGGTTGGGTTTAGAATAAAAGAACAGGGTTTGGCTTTACAATCTTACAGGAAGTGAACACCGGCCTCCTGGGTGAAATTCCTTTCTGCCCTACTCAGACTTTTGCCACCTTGACTTTTGCAGGTGTCCCACCACATTTCCTCCTGATACTACCAGGCACTGTTAAACAATAATGGCGACCGGCTGTGTATCACACCGACATTAAAAGATGGTTTTTATCGTCAGTGTCTGACGCTGCAAGTCACTACCCGAGTGCCAGATTTTGGTGGCTTCGGGTGAGACCAGGTTGGCCTGTCTTGTAAACGGCCTCGAGGACATAAAGGACGTCCTTCAGCTGATTGAGGGCGGATAAGAAGTCTTCCTTTTTGACCCCCCGACTCCATCGAAGGGATTTCTGTGCAGCTCTACAGCCTCTCCAACTATCTTAAACCCTGTGTCAAAAATCTTGGTGTGATATTTGACTCTGCCTTTTAAGTTTGAAAAATACCACAGTAGTAAAAGCCAGAGTCACCCCAACTCTCATCTTCTCCCGTTTGGACAACTGTAACTTTCTCTATGCCGTTATCAGTCAGTCCTTTCTGTCCCGCCATCAGCTGGTTCAGAACGCTGCGGCCAGGCTGCTCACAGGTATCACACCTGAGTTAACGTCTCTCCACTGGCTGCCTGTAAAGTTCAGGATTGATTCGAAGGCTCTCCTGTTTAACAGTGTGCAGACCTCCTGACCTCTTATTCTACACCAAGGTCCCTCAGGTCAGCTGATCTGGGGCTCCTATCTGTCCCACGCTCCAGATTCAAGCTGAGGGGTGACTATCCTTACTGTGTCTGTGGAACAGCCGCCACAGACTCGTCTAAGTCCAGGCTCAAAACCTAACTTCAGGCTGCTGTCAGCCCTAGAGTGGTCTCCTTTGGTCTGAATCAGGGACTCATGTTGTTCCAAAGTTGTATAATTGCCTAGAGTTGGTTCGTGTTCTCACGGCAGCATTTACAAGAGGACCAGATCAAATGCCTTGTGTGAGAAAGCTGCTCTTGATTGGTCAGAATTTCCATGTGGGAAAAATCCAGGAAGTAAAGCAAACGTTGAAGAAGAGTACACTTGCAAGATAAATGTGACACTTTCTAATGTCACAATGGAGGGACAACTACGCAGGTTGATTTTAGCGCTGCTCATCGTGGACTATATTGCTGTCATTGTTCATTTTAGTCAAACCATACAGTTTGAAAACGAGGCGCGGCTCCAACTAGAAAACAATGTTTTGATGCATTGGATGTGCTGAATGTGCATATTAAGGCAGTACAGGAGGAGGTGCACATTAATAATCCTCCAGGACTGTAACATGCTCATGTTTAACCCAAACAATGTGTCATGTGACTGCAGTTGCTTCACATCCAGGTCGGAACACCTTCTCACCACAAACCAACCACACCAGAGTTCCTTTGGAACCGGACTGAGACCACCTCTTCAAGAAGGTCTCAGTCCGGTTGTTTTGGTGTGTTCACACCTGCACAAACGAACCGCACTGAGGGGGCAAACACACTGCAGTTGGATTAAACTGAACCAAACAGGTGTGAGAGCAGCCTGTAAGTCATGAGCGTCAGAGTTCACCTGACGAGGATTCATCTGACGTCTGTCTGTGTCTCTGAGTGTTGGAGCTGTGTACCTGACAGTTGTTTCCTCTCGTGTGTTGTTTTGTTTTTAACTGTTGAGTGAGTTTGAGACGTGTGAAGGATCTGAAATCTTCCATCAGTTTTACAGTCACCTCTGTTATTTTTGTGTTTCACATTCAGCTGTGGACGTGAGGCGACGTGTTCCCAGTCCCAACAGTTGGTTTCTCTGTGATAGATCTCGTGTTTCCTCACAGTTTATTCTGAGGAAGGAGAAGAGAGGACATTACTGTCTTTCTTCCTCTCCATCTTTAATTCAGTCTGTTTTACAGACAGGACGTTACCTTCAGCAGCAGGACCAAAGCCTCCAAACACAGGAGTGTGTGAGCGAGTACTCAGAGTAAAGACCTGCCGCCGGCTGTGAGTCAGCCTCAGAGTGACAGAACGCTGCCTCTGTTATCCCTCGTCACACTCCTCTTTAACACTCACACAGAAATGACTAAACTCTGCGGAGGAGCTGCAGCCAGACGGAAACAAGGAGCAGAGAAATTATAAAGATAAACATTTGTTTTAATCCACTAATCTGCACATTTAAAATCCTGAACTGAAATAAAAAATCTGGTTTTCTTAAAGGTCCAGTGTGTAAAATGGGTTGAAAACAGTGACATCAGTGGTCAAATTCTAGATTGCAGGGCTCACTCGCTCACCTCTCCCGTCGGGTAAATGACGGTGGCCTCGTAGGGACAAAAAGCCTTGCGCACGATTTTTTCAGGAGTAGGTCTATCTAGCGACGAGGTGAATGTTTATTTAGAAATCTAAACCATGTTACCATATTGTAATGAATCCCTCACGAGCAGGAGACCAGAGGAGCGTTCGGGAAAAAGGCCAGTTTATTTGAGCACTCCAGAAACTCCGGTAACACTCCAGGGGGTAAAAGACTCCGTCCCAAACTCTGACTCTTCTGGCGTAACAGACACACTTCATAACTTTACACACATACTCGTTTACCATGCTAAGTGGGGACCCCCTCCCCTCTCTGCTCCACCAACCTCCAGCCCGCACACTGACTGACAGCGTAGCCTGTAAACAGAGCTCAGCTGTTTATTTAGCCTAGCGATATCTCCTGACTATAGTAGCTGCAATGGACGACTTTGAACGTGATTTTGAAGAGTTTCTTGTAGCGGACACAGATCCAGAGCCATACCTGTTTGAGCCAGAGCATACAGATGAGGAACTCCATGTGTTTGATGCTGAGCGGGCGAGAAGAGAGGCTGAATGCACAGAATGGGATTCGGTGCTACTGCTTCCATCGTTGGGGAGATATATCATCAGGAGGAAAAGCGTCGCAGAGAGTGCATCACAAGGAGTGAAGTTGCGTCTTCTTTTCCTCGCAGATGACGGTTCGGGTTCATTCTCTCCTGTTGCGTGGTAAGTGTGGTCCATTCGCAAACTTTATAACTAAAAAAACTTTTCACTACTCTCTATCAACGAACTACTAACACTCTGCTGTTTCCTCCTCCTTCTTCCTTCCTTCCACTGTCTTCGTTGGTTCATTTATACACGTGAAACGCGTTCTCTGGCTGGCTGGATTGTCCGCTCGGGCTGCCTTACATACATGGCGGCGCAAGATGGCGACCTCTCTAAAGCAATGCCCTTGCTATATATATATATATAAAAGCATAATTATAAGGCTACGAAAACCAAACGAATTTTATTTTATAGCGATCATACACTTGTATAAACATATTAATGGGTAGAATATTCAGATTCAGATTCAGATTGACAATAAACCATGCCAAATATTACACACTGGCCCTTTAAATGAATAACCTCACTGTGGCGCCTGCTGCACTTCCTCTGGGTTTATTTCCTGCATGGGAACACAGCTGTCAGCCTCCGTTACATTCCTCCACTGCACCTAAAAATAATGAAGAAGAAGAAGTTTCACAGGTTGAATGTCCCTGTCTTCTTCCTGTACGAGGAGGCAGCACTGAAAGAGTTACTGCTGGTTTGTACTACGGAGGCTCGTCACTGCAAACAGTTTCATGATAATGACACGGCAGAGTTTATAAAGTAAACTATACAAGTGGTGTGATAAATAATGGGCAACTTTACAACTTCACTAATCTTAACTCATTATGTTGAGATACTTTGTAATTACTCTGACATGCTGAGTCATTAGTTTGATATGCTGAATTATTGTTTCCAGAGACAGAAGTCATTTTGTTAAGTGTTCTCATTATTTTGTTTTATTTGTTTAGTAAGCTTCGAGATACGTTTGTCATTTTTGGATAGTAATTCAATGTTTTTAGAAACGTTCTTATTTTGTGATGCTGTCAGTATGTATGAGAC